TCTGCTAAAATTTGAAACGTTTTTAACTCAATTTACTTCTGCTAAAATTTGAATACTCTGCGCGTTCTACTATGATTTACATACTCTGGCATTGGCAATTCTAGGGAAAAGTAAAGGCTTGACAGGAAAGATAGCTTAAACTTAAAATAAATGTTAGTTAAAATAAATATATACCCTACAAGTGAAGAACAAAATACTTAAGTTATAACTATTGAAACATACTTATAGTCATACAAGAAGTTCACGACCGTGAGGATTTAGAAAAGAAGGGTTTTAAATTTTTTGTTAAAATTCTGTAAATAGATAAACAAAATATGATTTTCTCCTTTCGTATGCAAAAAAGATTTATTTTGTCATATATAAAATGTCAAAATGCTTTTATATGGAATTTAAAACTTATTAGATTGAAGAAAATTTAAAAATTTTCAATAAATGGCACCAGTATTTTTATCTAAATTTAATATTTAAAACCATGTGAATTATTACTTTAGATTCTAATGAATATATTTTCACACAGACTTTTTTTCTGAAAATTTTTGTTTAACATTTATTATTAATTACTATCATATTTTGTACCAAAATATTAATAATGACCAAAATATTAATTACTATTAATATTACCTTGCACTACTAAACTAAATGTCTTCTTTTGTGCAGGTTAAAGCTAGATTTAAAAAATATTTTCTTTAAAATTACCCTGAAGCATATAATTTAAGCCTAGAAATTTGCGAAAGACACTTTTAGTTAGACAAAATACAGTATTTTTCCTAAACTGTCTGAGGTATTCAGATGGAAATGCTGATGAAATAAAATGGTTATGAATATGACATTCCTCTCCTGTACCTGTACTATAGTGATCAACACTTTCAGCTAACATCTGGGAAATTATTTTTTACGTTTATCATTCCTGAATGATTAATGACTCCTACTAAAGGTTTCAGATTTTAAATTACGCCTAAAGGGGCGTTTTTTAAACAATTTGTCTATTACCTTTATTTTTTAAATATCGCGTTCTTCGCACTTAAACCATAAAATTAGGTTCAAGAGCAATTTCGCAAAATAGTTTTAAACTGAGCATATCTTTAGAATTTCCGATACAAAGTCTGGCGCGTTGGAGCTAAGAATGCTTTTTTTTTTCTGTACAACGTTGCCATTATTTGCTTTGAAATCCTAGAGTTTGTTTGTCAAAAATTCGTTAAAGTTTTATAAAATATGAAATCGATAATAAAACATAATCCAAATTTCAAATTTTGGCTTCCACATGCCCATATTCGCAAGAGGATCACGTCATTCAAAATTCGATGGCTCTTTGTATCCTCTGTTTTGTCAGAATGCGAGAAATATACATACATTTATGCATATTTTTCATTATTTAATTTCTTCAAATATAATGCAGGACTCTAACACTTGGTGGCAACAGTTTGAAAATTGAAACGGACAAACCAACGCAAAATCGCAAAACGAAAACAATAGTCCTTCAGGGATAAAGCCCCTTTGGGTTAAAAAAAAAGCTTTTGCATACATTGTGTGCTTATTGGCTTGAAATATCAGATGGATAACTGTATGTTTTTTTTTTATTTTTATTTATTTTTTTTTGTTTTTGTTTTTGTTTTGAAAAGCAGTGTTGCTTTGGTATTCATGCATTATTATAAACAAGAATTATAAAAATTCTTTGCCATATGTAGGATAAAGTCTTTTGTCTCCATCTGAGATTGTAAAGCAAAGAAACATCGGTTTCTAAATTGTGCGCCATGGTGAAATGATGTACAGTGAATCGCTTATAAGGAGAATGCAAAATATTCAGCACTTTCACATAAATGTTACTTAGTTCATGTGGTTTTATAATTTTTCTATATTAGAAAGATATTATAGAAACAACTGATGTAGAAAAATGTCGGTCAGCGCGTCAATTAATTGGACAATTCTTTCTGCTGTCTCGCATTTTTATTGGTGTCAATGTAAATTTTAAGTAAATATCAATTAAATAATGACATAAAAAACTTTATTGTAGTACGCACAACTTATTCACAAAGGCGAATGCCTGCGTGAATGATTCGCAAATCATTCACGTAGTCAAAAACATCGGTATAAAACATTTAATCCTAAAATATTTATTTTCGCTGGGACAGATCTCTAGATAAATCCAACATTTGTAGGTTCAATTGTCCAATAATGAAACTATGTTTATGTGTTCAAGAAATAATAACTTTAATAAGCTAACTCAGCTAATGCCTAAGAGATGCATCACGGGAATAACAAGCACTTGAAGATTCCTCTGGTTAAAAGAAGTGGCAAGTAGGAAGGAGGAGACTGTTATCTTATGAGGGAGGAGTAGATAAGAGAAATCAGAGAGCAATGTCGTGTCTGCTTACAATGCTGTACCCACATCTTCTACTGACGTCGAAGTAAATTCCTTTCCTTTCTGTTCCAGATCTCACGTCAAATAAACCAGTCTCTTCGAATATACAAATCATTTTCTGTAGACCATTGACACACACTGGATACAGCCACGTCTTATACTCATTAATGTCCGGAACTTCTTCAGAGCACTTGACGCACAGTCACCCGTTGCTGTGAAAAGGCAGAACCTGATCCTTCACTGACAGGTCCACGACGAGTTTCTCAAATGCAAGAATAACAGAAACTGCATATCCTGAGTTTTTATTATAAAGCAATCACGTTTTAAGTAGAGTACAGCGCCATTATTTTTTAAAATTTTAAACTATTTTTCTTCTTTTCGTCTGATAAATTCACTTTCCTTCGCGTGTATTCAGGTCAATTTCACAGTTCTTTTTTACAGCCGTTTGAAAGTGGAAATGAGATTATAATTACCATATATATTCAAAATTTATATAAGTCACTTTCCTGCAGTACAGAATGATCATTCAAATGCATAACAACTAGTTTTAAATTAATTTTCTTATTGTTAAAAGTCCATTAATTTTTTCAGAAATATTTTTGGGACAATTCATATTATTTAAAAATTTTTTTCTCACACAAGAGCTTCAATTGTCTGTTTCGGCGAAACGCGTAATAGTGTTAGCTTGGTTCGACGTTCAACTGAAATTTCCCTTGAAAAGCCAAATTGGAAGTCTAATTGGGCTAATTTACCATTTTCCGCTTTGCAATTTTTATAATTTTTGTAATTTATGTTTTTCATATGTTTTGATTTTGTTTTAACTTGTTCCGTCGTTCAGTCTTTTATATATGTTAACTTTTCACTTATCACATCGATAGGTTTTACTGTATTTTTTTGCTATTCACATGTTTCCAACGATTGATTTTAACAGTTTTATTTTCTGCATTTTATTTCGCGTTTAGGCTTTTTTTAACCCTTCAATGTTATTATTTTTAAAAAATACTGCGTTGAACTATTCCTTGCAGACACAGCTCCTGGTAACTTTTTGGCGAGCTCACTACAATATTTCTTCTTATTATTTCATAATATTTGCAGCATATTGCGCAAAAAAATTTTTAAGACCAAATAGGTCTTACAACACAATACTTATTAGCTTTTCAATTTCAATTTTATTGTCTTATATAGTTATATATTTGATTTTTAGCCCCAAAGGCATTAGTCCAGAAGGGATATTAATTTCGTTTTGGCATTTTGCGTTGAAAATTTTAAATGTCTGTTTCACTTTTCAAATTGTTGCCACGAGCTCACTACAATATTTCTTCTTATTATTTCATAATATTTGCAGCATATTGCGCAAAAAAATTTTTAAGACCAAATAGGTCTTACAACACAATACTTATTAGCTTTTCAATTTGAATTTTATTGTCTTATATAGTTATATATTTGATTTTTAGCCCCAAAGGCATTAGTCCAGAAGGAATATTAATTTCGTTTTGGCATTTTGCGTTGAAAATTTTAAATGTCTGTTTCACTTTCCAAATTGTTGCCGCCAAATATTATTGCTCTGTGTTATATTTAAATAAATTAAATAATGAAGAATCTGCATAAATGTAAATATGTTTCTAACATTGCGATAAAACAACGGTACCTGGAGCCACCAAGTTTTGAATAACATAATCCTCCACCGAATATGGCCATCTGGAAGTCCTAATTTAGAATTTGTTTTATTATCGATTTCACATTTTGTGACACTTAACGAAGTTTTGATTAACAAACTCAGTGATTTCAAAGCGAGCAATGGCAACACTGTTTGGAGGGAAAAAATATTTTTATCTCCAGCGCGTGAGACTGTGTATCCGAAATTCTAAAGATATGCTCATTTTAAAATTAGTTTGCGACATTGCTGTCGAATTGAATTTTATGGTTTAAGTGCAAAAAACATGATATTTAACAAATAATGGAAACACGCAAAATCGTTGAAAAAACGCCCCTATGGGCGTAACCCTGAAAGTTTTCAGATTTTTTTAAATTTCAAATTTAATATTTTTTTAAATCAAAACATTTTGCACTGTACTTTGAAGCATTGCATGAATATTTTTATTTGCAAATGAATTAAACTGGATTATTAATTAAGATAAAGTAAATAGCACCATCTTCCTCTTTATCTGGTAGAAATTATAATACTTTTGGTATTAGATACGTCTTTAATGAGCCTTTCCAAATATTAAGGAGCTTTCCCTTTACGGTCCGAACGTTATGAACATACAATGTATATATTCTTCTTATTAAAAATGATTTGTTATTAGTTAATAAATTTTCTTACTAAATGTTTTAACTATTTCAGATACAAATGGAAACAGGCAAGCTTATTTTACTCGCATTTCCAGTTTTGGAAAAATTGAAAAAATGCTATCTTCAAGGCAAAACGTATTTGACGCCACTATTGCTATGACAGTTGCTATGACAGTTGCTTTTTATCGCAGTAGTAACGTCAGTTGCTAAACCAGTTGAAGGCTCATTTGTAGAGCATGATCTGTCAGCTTATGAAAGTTCGATTCTCATCTCACCTGCAGAAGAGCGTACAGAAGAAAAACTAGTAGCTAAAACTGGTGAAATATTTCCTTGGAATGATGTACGCTTACCATCTTTCATACTACCCATACACTATGATTTATTTTTGTTTCCTAACCTTGAAACGTTTGAAAATTTTGGTAGTGTGAATATAACATTTCAAGTCTCAACAGCAACAAATTTTATTGTCTTACATGCGAAGGACCTTAATTTTTCAAGTATCTTAGTAACTGAGGATAATGGAAAAGAAATACCTTTTGTTCAGCATTTGGAATATCCACAACGCGAACAGGTATATATCAGAATTGATGAAAGTTTCGTGCCCAGTGCAGTATCGATTATCAATTGATTTTGACAGCTACCTAAAAGAAAATTTGCAAGGATTTTATTTAAGTTCCTATAAGAATGAAGGTGGTGAGAAAAGGTAAGACAGTTTTTTTATAAAATAAGAAATAAAATAAGAAGTAAAATTTACAAAAATGTGTATCATCTACAATTTTATGAATATTTAGAATTCTTGGAAGTTATATAATTTTGATCAGTTTCTCCTGACACACAAAATAAGATTATATATAACAAAATAGAATTATTAAGTAAATGTTCTCGGTACTTATGTATTAACGCACCAATTTGGCGCAATTTGGCGATTTTTTACGGATGAAAGGGTAAAAGTTACTCATCGGGTACAAGTCGTTGGTTTTAGAGCCTTTTTTTAAGAAAAAGTCCCATATTATCGATACCTATCACAAGTCGGAAGCATATCAAAAGAAGGATTATGTGATATATTAAAAATATATCTATTATTATACTATATCTATATTATACTTCTTCAAATCTTTCTGTAATTTTTTTGCGCTATTCTTCTCCCGAAGTACACATCAATCTGTTTCTACTTAAAATTATATCAGAGATTTGTGGAGACTTGGCTTCGGACAACCCCCAGCAACAACGGCTATCGAGGAAAGGCATTTCTTCGTTGTTCGTTTTGAAAATCGTCCGCAAAATTCTGTATTCTTGCAGAAATTTTACCTCAGTTCCTTCCGCTGCTTGCAAATTACACGTTCATATTTTAAAACTAAGTTTAAGGCAAAAAATATCACGATTTGTTTATAAAAACCGTTGGAACTATTAGAAGGTGGGAACTTGGAATACAACAAAAAAGAATGCATACGAAAAAATGGTGGCGTTGCTTTACTAGAGGAACGTTATGAGTATGGTTACCGGCAGAATGGTTATGCGTATGGTTGCCAGAGTTTGGCACATTCTGAAAATTTGATATCCTAGTACCGTTTTCTCACCGCCCAGTCGGTATAGTGGTCAGGGAAGCTGACTGCGATGCCGAAGGGCTTGGGTTCGAATCCCGGAGAAGGCATTGTTGCAACTGTCCGTCCCCTTCATAGGAAAAGCGATGGTGGCCCACCTATTAGGTGCCTCGATAATAAAGAGACCACCACATCCGGCGTTGTAGATTAATGGACTGGGTTACATTTGTAATTGTTCACAATCTGCCATTGGGGGGGGAGTACCGTTTTCTCAAATACATACCAAAGAAAATCTATCTCAAATACAGAGCGAAATGCCTCGTCTAATTCCTTCAAACTAGTTTTCCTTTCTAATAACAATTCATGTAGTTTGCATAATTCAGCTGTATTTCTCTTTTGCTAAACTGTCCTCGACTTTCTTTAACAGTTTAGAAACTATTGTTCTCAATGCGGTTCCCTTCCGTTTTAGTCTAACTAGTTCTGAAAATATTTCGCGTTAATTAGTAAATGTGCCCAAGACTGTAAATTACCAAAATTCAAATAAAATGTTTTTAAATTTAATATTAATCATGCTATTACTTAATTCTTAGGGCATGGTCTGGACACATCCATCCGCATGATTTTCATAATTCTTCCTTTTTTAGAAATCAGTTTTTTCCGACTTAGATGCTTACTGTGTATGAAACAGCGAAGACCAAGGCGGCCTAACAAGGAAAACAAAGCATCAGATGTTTCTTTATCATTTATCATATCGTTTTATATATATATTTATAAAATTGTTCTATTAGAAGGTGGGGCAACCTTCACAGAAATTATTTTGCCTAATGAAACGATACGATATCTCTTTTCGTTCCTACATTATATGCATTTTGCTGGAAAGCAGCGCCATCTATTTTTTCTATTTTCAACAATGGGCAGCAGAATTTAGGATTCGCAAAGATTACCCAAGGAGGCAGAATACTTAGCGCTGCCCTTGGATTAGTTGTACTGTTATAAGTTTATCAAAGAATGTAATCATGGAAAGATTTTTCCTAGGCTTTCACTGGATTTTAGATCTCATTATTTTTGCAATTATTCTCAAGCTGATAAAAAAGAAGGGATTGTTAGTTCTGGTTATAACCTTTAATATTTTCATCACATGTTCATTAACTTATTAAGCAAATGTGCGTTTAGAAGTTTCAGTATTTCGTGTTGTGTATGTATTTGTGTTTTCCTTTTATTTTACGTGCTATACGTTTTTTAGGTATCTTGCCACTACAAATTTTCTGCCAACTGCTGCACGATCAGCTTTTCCTTGCTTCGATGAACCTGCTATGAAGGCTACATTTCAACTTAAAATTGTGCATGATGTACATTACAGTGCTTATTTCAATTCTGAAATTTTACTAATCGCTCCGTATGCTGAAGGGTTATCTATATCATCTTTTCATAAAACTGTTAAAATGAGCACATATTTGGTTGCTTTTCTTGTTTGCGATTTTACAGAACTGGAAATTGCAGACATTAATGGTATTAATGTAAGTATTTGAAAATTTTCTGTTTAAATTGTTTCAGTAAAATTTATTTAATTTCAGTTCATTTGTCTGAATTAGGAAAAAATGTATGATATTTAAAGCGTAAATGAGCATTTTCAAAAGTTTTTTAATATTCTTTTTACATTACTCACAAAACCAAATATTTGACAATTACACTCCAAAAGCATAATATGGATAGCATATCGGACGTTCTTGCGATTTTTTTAATCTTATTTAAATCCCTTTTTTACTTTTGCCCTTAATCCATTTCCTACACCTATTCAGATAATTTTCATGCTGAGTTATTTGAAGAGAGCAAAAAATTTAGTTAATTTTTGGACTGAAACCTCCAGGAAAAGAAATAGCTTAAAATCAGAACTGTGTTTGCAATGAAATGAAATTCTTAGGAAATCAAGGAAACAGAAAAGCAGAAATTAAAAATAAAATTTGGGATTTAATCTTAATCCCGTATCACATATCGAAATGTAATTGGAAACTCTTCGAAACTGGACATGCGTCAAGATACTGACTGGCTTGAGGCTTGCGACGAGCATCTTAACCTAAAATATTTTTACATTACGAGCAGAATGTGTACGTTTCGTTATGCATAGCATTTGAATGGAAGGCACGGAACAGTGTAGTTTACCAGTAGTGACACAGAAAGGTTTTTTATGAGCGATTAGTATGTTAGTATGTGTATGTTCCTCAGACAGCACTGCCGTTTGTTCGAGAGCACTCAGAAGATGGAAATGTGACTAAAGAGTTTGGGATCGAAATGCATCATTTCATGTGCTTTGGTGGTCTGAACTGGGTGACGTTGTTGTTCGATAGGATTTATGATTGTGTTTCGACCTACGCCATGGAGGATAATTGTATATTTCGGCAAGAAAGGCCATCAACAAGCATTGAATAAATTAAGAAATACCATCCATGGGATAGAGAATATCACTATTCACGATAATGGGATAAAGATCATCACTGTTTACAGAGGCCAGATTGTCCCGCAACGTTGGTCTATTTGTTTGGCGATCAGCACTCGGTATCCTTTTAAAATGTCACATGGCAGACATCCTTTACTCTGGCCTTGTTAATACGAGGGCTGGATACAGTTGCCAAGGTTCTCTGTACAGAAGAGACAATAGTAGTTATTATAAGCAATTCTGATAGTATTTTATTTGACAGGAGGTGGAAGTATCCAGTCAGTCTTCAAATTTTTCTTAATGATTGCTTTGGTGACCAAACTTTTCTTATGATTGCGCCGAAACTTTTCTTATGGCGCATGGTATGGGAAAACATCAAGTGCCTACACGTATGAAGCTCCTGTTATTGGATGGAATTACAGTCATTGATGAGAGATATTTTAAAGGCATATTCCTGTCGAGCGCGTCTTTCAGAAGATTTTGATAGTCCTTTGTATATACACAAGTTTTACATTTTGAACGACAAAATTTATTATATACGAGGGTAAGTTGAAAAATAAGTTTCCCCTGTCGACTGTGGTCAGAGTTGTGTATGAAAGTCAAAAAATAGAATGAGACATTAAAGATATGACATACCTTTATTTTTCCACATAGCTACCAAGTACATTGAGACATTTGTCATATCGCTTGATAAGCTTCAAAAAGCCCTCCAGGAAAAAATCATTCATATGGAAGAAGCGTTGAACGGCTTGTTTCACTTCAGTATTGCTTCCAAAGCGCCTTCCCTCGAGATTTTTCTTCAAAGCCGGAAACAGATGGAAGTCGCTTGGTGCGAGATCAGGACTGTATGGCGGATGGTGTAGGCACTCCCAACCAAGAGTTGCAATATGGTTTTGCGTTGCCGTTGCCGAATGTGGTCTGGCATTGTCATCCGACAGCAGAACGCCAGATGTGACAAGGCCAGGCCGCTTTTTCCGAATCGCCTCTTTCAATTTCGACAGGGTGTCACAGTAGCGCGTAGCATTGATGGTTCCAACCTCCAAAACGTCCAGCAACAAAACTCCTTGGGCGTCCCAGGAAACTGTGAGGAGCACTTTACCTGCAGAGGGAGTTGTCTTGAACTTCTTTCGGCAGGTGATGACGGATGTTTCCACTCCATAGATGCGGCCTTCGATTCTGGCGTGAAATGGTGGACCCACTTTTCATCCCCCGTAACAATCCGAAACAGAAAGTCATTGCCATCTTCATGGTAACGCGTGAGATGTTCCAGGTTGATCCCGATGTGTTGTAGCAGATGTTGCGAAGTAGTTAGAACGGAACAAAATTCATCAAATAGAAGGGTCATCGCTTTTTCAATAAATAAATTCAACAAATAAATTCAATTTAATGTGTAATATTTTAGGAAAACGCTTTGAACACTTTAAAAACTCACCAGCAAGTGTCCAGAAGCTCAAAAAATGTGATTACAGAGGAATTGGAGAGGTTAGGTTAGGTTATTGGACTATGGCAAAGCTCGCGAGGATTGTCTGCGTGATGGGAGAGATAGCTTCATATAGAACTTTCTAACAAAAACTGGCTCGTACTTATTTTAAACAAGAGTAAAACCTCTAAAACCAGCCATTCCGATTCTGGAATCCAGGGGTTCAATTCAACCCTGGGAACCAACCAGCCCTGGGATCGAACCCAAGTTGAACTTCCGGTTATTAACGATGAAAAAGCGGAGACAGTACTGTGAGAACGAATTGAAAGTCCCCATGCATGTTATAAATAGTTAATGTTTTCACCTCCAATTCGCTTATTGAGCATGCATAAAATGGTAACCAGTGAAAGAGATCAGCGTGCAAACCCGACTAGCAAAAAGCGGAAACAACCCAAGCAATCTTAGAGCTGATCATAAATATTACAGGAAAAAGTAAGGAATCGTTGACAAGAGCTCTTCCTTTCAGCTTCAAGAATTCTGTTCTTATATACATTGACTAATTTGCATTTTTGTGGGATTTGACGAAAGTAGAAATGGTAATAAATATAGAATTAATAACATAATGGGCTAATAAACACAAAATCTAATAAAGAGACTTCGATATTTTTAAGAAATTGCTCAAGATTTGAAACAAATGTGAAAATAGAACTGGGATTAGAAGTTATAGTTTTTAATTATTTAAAAAACTGATTAACTGAATTTAGACAACTGATAAATAAATCACTTAAAGACAGTTAAAATTTCTAGAAACTGTAAACACAATACAATCAAAACGAATGAATAAAAATTTATTTGATGGTAAAATAGTTTTTCTTTTTAATCTGCAATTTTCTCGATGTCTTATTTTAAAGTAACTATTAATATTATTAATAAGGACGATATATGTTTAATTATTGTAACTAATGCAGAATTATTGTTAATTATCTAATGCGCATCATCAATTCTTAAGTGTGCAGTTTACAGTTTGAATGTTATTAAGCTGATTAAATTATAAAAGTAGAAAATTCCAAACATTTATAAATCATTACTTTTTATAAGCTATTAATTAGAAAGGTTTGCTAATTTATTTGATTATTTTACATTTACTGTTATGAACATATCAGTTTATAATTTCAGATTCGAATGCTAGCTCCAGCTGAACATTCGGGGAAAACTGAATTTGCATTAGAGATAGCTGCTGAGGTTCTTCAGTTTTACAAGAAATTTTTTAATATTAGTTACCCTTTGTCTAAATTAGGTAACTTTGTTTTATTTTATATACTCCAAAACTTTTACAGAAAAAATATGACGTATTACAGTGGCGCATAAAAGTAAATCGTGACAGCCAACTGTCTTAAAAATCCAAGCAATTACAATTGCAGGTATAAGAAATGTATGTCATGTATCTTTCCTTTAATAGTAAATACTGACAAAAATTCTAATTTAGTTTGACACTGAATTAAAATTATCAGATGTGCATTTTGCCAATCAAACTATAAAGATTTATCCACGCCTTTGAAATTAAAATAAAATTTTAATGGCCTGATAGTTTCAGCAAACACACACGCACGCATGCATATGCCTTCCTGTTAAATAATTTACCACTTTAGATTGATATACAGGGTGTTTCAATACCACGTTTTAGAACTTCTAGCAGGGGTAGGGTGCACCCCAGCGATTCGGAATTATATCGTAATGTAGGCTCGAAAATGCTTTCCTGACGCGTTGGTGTACACAGAAACATCAGAAATTTAAAGAAAAAATCAGCAGTTACCTGATATTTTTATGGAATAGGATTTTCCCGCTTTCAAGGAATGACATCCTACATCTTAAAATTTTACACTATTCTCAACTTTCTTTCTTAGAGGTATTTTAAAATTTAATTCATTTTTTACTTTTTTATATGTTTAGTTTTGTGTTAAATATTGTATGTATATGTGTTGGATTCAATCAATTCCAAGAACTTTGCAAACCTAAGCAATCATTTGGAATCCGGGAACGGATTTATTCATTTTACACTAATTTTATGGCGAAAATTTAAAGCACTTAAGGGGTTATTTGAAGTATTTAAATGCTTAAACACCCCTCATTGTTGCTAAATGTACTCCCCTTAAAACACTAAAACACATCTAAATATTGTCTTAAAGCTGTAATATGAATTATCGCTTGTAGTCTAAACTAGCTGTAAAAATGCAAACACACAAGCAAGCCGAACTTTACATTAGCTTATATCTTGTCAGTTCTAAACTGAAGTATAACAGAAGAAAATAAGATTCCTTGATTTCTCAGCAAATAGTAGGAACTTGCAAATCAGTTAGATGCGTATGTATGTAACTCAAAGCTACAAGATCCTTAAGTGAAGAAACTTAATCTAAGTCAAGACTAACTTTACAGCCTGGACCTGATGTCTGACAAAACATTTCTTTCGAGTAGATGCTTTTTCGTGTAAGGCAAAGCGGCAGCTGATACTCATCCAAACGTCTTTTTCCTGCAAATCATGGGTTTGTAACGACATTATTTCAATTTATAATATGCTTGCCAAACAAATCTGCATAAAGAATGGGGTACATGAGCGGGTAAATAACAACATGAAGAATAAAAAAATGTAAAAATAAACATTTAACAATTAGTTAAACTCAAATGAAATATTACTACATCGAAACGAAAATGTGGAAAGATCATTCAAAACATGCTTTAAAATTTAGCATTTTCCTGAGAACAAAACTGCTATAGTCGCTATATAAAGTATGCATTAGTTATGGCTCTTATATTATGAATGTAAAGTATAATGAGAAAATGGTACTCGATCGTTCTTTCTCTAGAACATTTTCCTGAACTATAGTTTCATTAGACATTAGAAATCCCTGAAGAGTTTCATGACTAGAAGTTACATTCACTAATAATATCTAGGTGCGCAAAAGACCATAATCAGAGCATTTTCAATAATTCTTTGAATAGTCCTTCAGTGTTCATAGGCTACGCTACGGGAAATTTCAAAACTGCAGAAATTTTGGATGTGAATTTAAAACAAAGATTAAAATTTGATTTTTTATTTAAATTAAGAGCGACTATGAATTTTTAACTTTATTTTGTAACCTCCGCCCCAAAACAAAAGCGTAATATTTGTATTCTTTCCAATAGTAGGCAGTTTCAATGTTTCAATTTCTGGTTAAACGTAGTGGCATTTCCGTCATCCGAACAATTATTTCGCTGTTTGATGATAACATTTATATTTCAAACCTTTGTACGAAACCTACTATTCAATAAATATCGCAAAGGAAGCTACTTTATCAATCTTTTAAAATAATCAATTGTCCCATTTTTAGAAAAGCAAAAGATATGATATAGAACATGCTATGATTTACAGATTTCCACAAGTTTTCTTTTATCTCTCTTCCATGGCAGAAAAAAGTCTATGACAATGATTTTAAGCTATCTAAACGATTTATAAGCATAACATAGAAACATCCTCTCAGTCATGAATTAACAGGAATTATAAATGTGAAAGAAATAATTTAATGATTTAGATATTTGCTGAAACACGAATTACCTTTTCTTAACAATATTTCTAATGCTCATCTCCTCAGAGTTTAATTTTTATCATTTATTTTTGGAGTTCCCTTAAAGTGCCTGGTTTGTAATCATTTTAAATCAAGAAATTAAGAAAACTAACAAGAAGAATTAAAATCATATTTTAAATCGTGTTTAAATTTGGTCTTTTTAAATTCCCTTTGTTCAAGTTTTCTGTTATCATCATAAAATGCATTAGGTAGTGAAACTTTTCTGAATTACATAATAAAAGTTTAAATATTATGTTCATCTTCTTCGTATTAAGGGCAGCTAATTCGTTGCTAAAACCTTTTTATGTTATAAAAATATACAAGTATTGATAATTAACTGAAGTAAAGGATTTAGAAATTTCGTTTCATTTCTTTTCATTTATTTATTTATAATTTCATCAGCTCAAATTTGCCGGCAATTTAATCAATTGTCTCATAGGTATCTTTATGCTTTTTGATAACACTTTTTTGCTTAAATTTTGAAACAGATATGGCAGCTATTCCTGATCTTACCGATATAGGCGGGGAGAATTGGGGTCTTGTATCGTTTCGTTTAACAGATATTTTGTACAGTTCGTCAGAAACATCAACTTTCAACCAAGAAATTGTGGCTTCTATTGTATCTCACAAATTGGTTAATCAGGTTTGTGATATAATTTTTGTTTAATAAAATAAACAGTGTCTCATAATATATAAATTTGAAGTGACTCGATTAGCTTTCATGTTCTTAAGTTAACTCTGGTTGAATAACTGAGAGGCAAAATAAATTAGTTAAAATTTAATTGAGTTCTTAAAACATTCTATAGATTATTGACCTCAGTTAAAATTTTAATTTGCTAATAAATTATAAATTTGGAGGAAGAAGCATATAAATGTATATCTGTCATATGTCGTGAATAGCTTGTTGGTACTAAAAAAGAGACAACTGTATTCATACTTACTGAAAAACTGTCAAATAGTGGCAAAGGAGAAATTCTACATGCCACAATTATGTGCCTTCTAACTAGAAAAGAATTCTACCAAAGCAAGGAAAGCTATTATAGCAGTGAAATAAGCACTCTAAAAGTTGTTATGAAGTTAAATTAATTAAATTAGGGTTAATGTTTTTTTTTATTTTATTTTATTTTATTTTATTTAAACATTCTTTTCAGATCTTGAAATCATACATTGGGAAAAGGATCTCTTTTGATTCCTTAAAAATTTCTGTTGTTCATTTCCTATGGAAAATGGCTAAAATAAAATGAAAAATTGGAACTGCATGATCAAATCGTATAGCAATTGTCTAAATAAAACAGAATTTTTACTCCTTATATTATACAACCTCTTTATATATATTAATGTAAACATGTACAGTATGTGAGTTTTAATCGGAAATCTTTAATAATTTTTTCTTATGCCAATCATAAATTTTTCATTGTGTATAAAGATACTAGTTGAATTACGGATACAAAATTTTATGGAATTCAGGTCATATATTACTTGACCATTACAAATATTTTGAAAAGTTAATGAAAATAAGGTCATAGTTAGATTTCTTCAGTGCAAAAGAGTACCATAAAAACCAAATCAAACTTTTTTTAATTTACTGCAATTAATTTTTCATGTTAAGAGCTTTCATTATAACAATGTTTATAAATATTTTGTGAAATGTAGGCTAGCATAAGGATTTTCCGTGCTGAAAAAATGGCACTTTTGCTTACTTGCTTCTTGTTTAATTGAGTTCGGCAAAACACATGATGTATTATTTCTTAAGGGAAGGAAATGTCTTAAAAAGGATGTTACGGTGTTACTTGAACTGGATGTTAGTAAGCTTTAGACCTGATGCGAAATTTAAATAGTCAAAATATTTTCGAGAAAATGTTGCATATAAAAAACGCAAGGAGAAAATGTCAAACTCCATTATAGAACTAGTATGCCTTAAAATGGAGAAATTTCTCACACCCTTTATATTATTTTTTGTCACGATGTTAAACATTACCATGTTTAAAGGTACTGCGAAAGTTTTCCCTTGTCCCTCCTCTTTGTAATGAGGATTTACACTACAATACTTTACCTCCGCATTGTTTTCTTCGCGACGCTTTCTTCTACGGTGCACAGAAGCGTAGCATCTAGAGTACATGGCATATGATAGTATATTTTAACACTCTATTTACATAAATGAATATTTATCCATTTAATGTTTCTTCTTGATAGTCTGAATTGGGAATCCAGGAGCTCGATGATCCTGAAGAAACTGGTGTATATTTTTTAATTATTTCTAATATTACTCATCTAAGACGTAAAACAGTAGTTGCTTTAGAAGATTTGCGGTAATTTATCTTACGAACTTTCCTGATTTTTAGCCCAAAGGAGCTTTTACGCAGAAAGGCTACTAGTCTCAAAACGAGATTTTGCGTTGAATCACTATAAAAGTTTGAATCGCTTTTCAAATTGTTGCCACTAAATATTGTCACCCATTATTATATTTAAAGAAATTAAATGATAAAGAATTTGCATGACTCTATGCACGTTTTTGGCATTGTGAAACATCAACGGTACCTAGAACCATCGAATTTTGAATAACGTAGTTCTCCATCCGAATCTGGATACCTGGAAGACCGAATTCTGAATTTCAAATTTGCTTTATTGTGTATTTCATATTTTGTAAAACGAGTTTTTGTTTAACAAACTTAACGATTTCAAAGCGAGAAATAGCAGCACTGTAATTGTAATACTGTAACGGAAAAAACATTTTTATGTCCAGCGCGCTAGTCTGTCTATCGGAAATTCTATAGATATGCTGTTTTTAAATATTTGTATCCCAAAAGGAACATTATCCCAAATGCTCTCAAAATGTGTATGTGTATTTAAATGAAAAAATCTGATGTGTACACCGCGTGACTTCCTTGTACGGAATATTAAATTATACGCATTTTTCCTACATTTCATTTAAACTCATTTCATCGAATTTCATTAGAGATATATTTCTCATTCAATCAATTCAGTTCTACCTTCGCGGCAAGGCAAAAATACATAAAATGTCTTCATTAAAAATCTAAAGATATAGAAAAACATAAGAAAACAAATACAGTTAACAAAATTAAAAAACAATTTTTACAGTTTCTACACAGAAACAAGCAATTCGGCTGGCAGGCAAAAAGGCTTTTTTTTTTTTTTCGGTGCATAAAACTAAAAGTTTCCTTTTAGTCCCACGCTGAAGGGGCAGATACTTCTTACCTGCACGAACAAATGGCTTATGTTATCATGTTTTTCTCCAAGAGGTGCTACCGAAATTGTTGCAAGATGTTTCGGCTCTCGTTCGTGCTCGCATGTGGTTTCAGCATGATGGTGCACCAGCCCATAACCACGTGCGGGTCCGCAATTACTTGGTTGGGACATTTCCGGGCCGATGGATAGGCCGTGGTGGATCCGTTCGATGGCCACCCCGTTCGCCCTATATATCCAGCTTGGATTTTTCTTTTTATGGGGCCATCTGAAGAGAATCATTTACGAGACTCCCGTTGATTCACTGAAGGACCTCGTTGCATGACTATCTATTGCGGCTGCAAGCGTGCGCAAAATGCCTGTCGTTTTTCAAAATGTTCGTCAATCCCTTCTGCGACGTTACCAAGCATGTATTACTACGGGTTATCGCAATTTTTGAACATTTATTGTGAATACTGCAATGCTACAAAGAAGCACTTTGCGTTGATTTTGTATATAAATACATTTTCCTCTCGTGTCTTTTTTTTTTTTTTTTTTTTTCGTTCCCTCCTTAACCCGTCACTTTAGACCCTACATTCCTATAAAAAAATGCATGTTTTAGTACGCTCCACCACCCCTCTATGTTTGTCCCATGATCTATGAAACAGCCTGTATATGGTATATTTATTTATATGTTTTTAATTAGTACATGCGTGCGTATTTAGATTAGATTCAGAAGCGATTTTTTGTGGCGTCTATACGTATGTACAGTTTTATACTTCGTTTGGGCAAAAGGAGTTCTTTATTCTGTTCTTACATACAGATGTCAAGCAAAAAAAATTGTTAAATTGAAAAATCGATAAAATGGTTATTTTCTTGAACATGGTTATTTTCTTGAAAATGTTAAAATGGTTATTTTCTTGAAATCGATAAAATGGTTATTTTCTTGAAATCGATAAAATGGTTATTTTCTTGAAATCGATAAAATGGTTATTTTCTTGAACAATGCTGTTCGGAATTGTTTCGTGATTATGATACGTCCATTACTTCGTACAAGGAAGTAAAAAGCGCCCCTTTAAGCATAATATAAAACATGAAATCTTTCAAAATTTTTTCAGGTCTTTCTTTTTAAACTCTTTGCAGATGGCGTTTCAGGACGTCTCTCTCAAATGATGACAATTGTGTTTCTTTTACTTAATATCTATCTGTTTGTAGAATATACTCCAATTAAGCACGGTGTTAATTATTTCACAACCTGAGTGTTCATATAAGTCATATAACAAAGCATATCAAACTTGGAACTGTTTACTTTCGAAATGTTTAACAAATGTACTAAAAACCTTTAACGCTTTTATATTGTAGAACAAAGAATGTGGTATATATTATGTATTTAAATGAAGAAAGGATACACTTAAATTTGTGATAAAATGTTATTAATATTATTTATCAATATTAATATTATTTATTAATTATTAGTAATTCTATTTAGAAGCCAGCTCTTGGTCCACAAAATTATTGATCTGCTCGACATCTTATCTGAATAATAGATATTTCTTTATTCTGAATTTAATTTCTTAATAATTCATACTTCCCTTTCTAGCTAGATTGTTACTGTTGCTGCTTTCTATATTTACCGCAAGGTTTGAAAACTGTAAAATTTAAAACTGGTTAAAAAACAAGGTGTGCTGTACATGTCAAGTTACCTTAGTATTCATCAAAAATCTTTTAACAAGAATAATAAGAAGTGTTCAATCTACCAAGCCTATATATATTTGTATACATATATATAATAAATCAATAATAAATAATAATAAATCAATTGTTTCGCCTTACGCGTACAAAACCCAAGTTTAATAATTTTCTGTGTATACTTGGTTCTTAAGATTTGGTGATATATTAAAAACTCATGTTTTTATTTCTAGTGGTTTGGTAATCTTGTTACGATGCAGTGGTGGAATGACTTTTGGCTGAATAATATTTTTGCTACTTTTATGGAATATATTGCTTTAGACAACGTCAAATCAGAATGGAAAATGGTAACGAAAAATATGCATATTTTTTCATTTTTATAAATACCAGCTTAATATGTTTTAATTTAATTGCGCTAATCATTATTTGAACAATATGTACCTCATTTCTATAGTTTGTTTCAAGGTTATGCATTCTGAATTTTGTTAAAACGAGCGTCTGAATAATAATACGCTGGTGCGCAAAATTTAAGAACGGGACTATTTTTCGAATGCAATGACGTGCAATACTGTTCTACGTCAACTCGAATCTTGCCATAAAATCTGCAAGATGTGAATACATGAGGCAAGGGAGCAAAACAATCCAAACAAGGAGTCAAATCTATAATCTTGAAAACATGCTCCGAGTACAAATGGAGAGAAGACGGAGACGTCCATGTGCCAGGCGTCTAACAAGAAAAATTCAGTCTGTAGAAGGGGTTGTGATCATTACTGACTGCGATACAGGAATTACAGTGTCTGTCCAGGCTGAGGACAAAGGTGTTAAAAAAACCGTTGAGTCATCATAGCCCATTCCTCTTGCTAATTTCAGCTGCGAAAGCTTTTCTGACAGGTGAAGGAGGACGGGGACGCCTGGCGTATAACATAGGTAAACAGGCAAATGTCCCACGTCCTCCACTACCTCGAAGAAACAACTCACTGGAGCCCCATGAGACTGCACCGGGAGTTTACATGGCCATACAAGGGCTAGATGTGAAGTAGATTTTACATAGGACGTTGTTTATAAAACAAAGTAACTTAAAAAGAATATAAAGGATAGCATTAAAAACACTAAAACACACATATAAGCTAAAACACATAGATACACAAAAATAAACATAAAAGCACAGAAACACACTCATAATTACATAACATAAAGACATAAAAAGAAACACGAGAATACATAACATGACACATAGAATACATGCGGAAACACATAGAGCACATAAATGCAAATACTGCACACATAAGAAACATATGAGACATAGTATGGTGTGCGTAAAGCAGAACCGCTATGCGGAAATATGCTCAAATACCCATAATACATAATGTACATACTTTCATTAGAGGCGTCTGTTGCATGATTTACATATGTTTCGTTGCACACACTACATTGGTGCATTGTACGAATATTATACATTTCGATCTGGGATAACTACAGTTACATAATTCTGAAAGGATTCATGGTTACATTAGAGACATACAATACATTGGATAAATACACTACATTAGGAACATACATTACTTCATTAGAGACTTGCATTGTATTATTAATATATGTTACGGTGCATACTCTAAAATTGGTATAATGTACGAATATCTCAAATAATTACAGTTATACAAATCTGGAAGGATTAATTACATTAGAGACATACAATACATTGGATAAATACACTACATTAGGAACATACATTACTTCATTAGAGACTTGCATTGTATTATTTACATATGTTACGGTGCATACTCTACATTTGGTACATTGTACAAATATCTCAAATAATTACAGTTATACAAATCTGGAAGGATTCATGGTTACATTAGAGACATACAATACATTGGATACATTAGGAACATACATTACTTCATTAGAGACTTGCATTACATTATTTAAATATGTTGCGGTGCATACACTACATTTGGTACATTGTACGAATTTTGTGCATTTCGATCTTGTACAGTTACAGTTATACAATTCTGGAAATATTCGTGGTTACATTAGAGATATACAGCACATTAAATTAATACACTACATTTAGCAACATACATTACTTTACATGCACTATTTTAGAGGCATTCACTACATATGTCATTTACATTTCGTTGGGAAATTAGATATATACAATACGTTATGATACTAGATATTATACGCTATACGGACATACATATTATTTTGCATAGGTCACTATTGCAATATATATCAGGCATTACTAGTTTATGCTACGATAACACATCATTTCATTGGGTGCCCAGTGCTTTACACAGATAAACATTTCAGTAACATTATTTATGCACGTTGCTGGCCATTGGAAGCAGATGATTACATGAGGCTCGAAATTGAATGTGGCGTTGACAGAATGTGTACATACTGCGAATACCTAATCGTTGAGTGCATTGTCTGCAGTACCATGCTATTGTGGCTGGCAAATGTCTTGCCCTAGGGCGTTGATTTGCTGTACAACGGCGCAGATACTCCTTATAGCTGACGGATGTATGATTATAAAACGATAGTAAAGTGTTCTATCATTCGTTGGATGTGGTAGGTGGTGGTTTGTTGTTAGACCGCAGTCAAATAGGTAGTGCTCGGGAGAACCTAGTATGCCACAGACACAATTGTCAGATGTTGAGATGCCATGGCGCATAAAATAAGATGGAAATGGGCCATGACCCGTTGTGTACTGTGTCAGTGGAGCTATTGTTATAAAGACCATCCCTGTCTACTTTTGATAAAAAGTTATACGTCTTTCTCCCTGTGTCGCCACCATTCCATTCTTCTTGCCACTTTTCTTTACAAATATTACGTCGTTATAGATGTTTTCTTGAGGTGTGAGACAGGGGTAGGGGCTCTTATAGTTTGAGCGTGGATCTTGTTGGCAGCCTCATTAGCCTTCCGGTCTGCGACGTCATTCCCTTCGTTGTCGGAATCTCCTTTCACCCATACCTTGTTAAAGCGGGCTTGATCATTATTGCGTAGAAGTTGCTGAATATCTATGATGATGGGTGAAGTGTGGTGATGATCCCTGAGTGCGTGTAGCACTGACATGCTGTCCGTGAAGAAAGTAGCGTTGGTAAGGGAAAAGTTGAGGGCATGTCGTAACGCTTTCAGTATTGCTACTGCCTCTGCTTGGAAGATACTGTTGCTGTCAGTGAGATGTCCTTTCCATTCCTTTACTAGTTTGCCATGTTCGTAATGTTCGTAGTGAGCAAATTCGCAGCCCACTCCCTGATCATGTTTTTGATTCATCAGTTAACAGTTGTGTGGTCGCAGGGAAAGTATGGTGTCTGGAGTGCGATTGCTGGTGTTGAATTTTGACATGGATCCCTCTATCTTTGATGGCAAGAGGGATGTGTTGCACACTGTCAGGGAGTTCATAGTCTGTTGTGCTTAACGTAATTCTTGCATATGTGGCTTTCTGTCTGTGATGGATGATTTGTACATAGGTAGCCTCTGCCTTTATGTGTAATGGCAGCAGGCCTGCAAGTATTGTGGCGGCGCTGGACGCTGTTGTGCGATAACCACCGCAGATGTTTAGTGGAAAAGGCCGTTGAGTTGTGGTCAGTAGCTTGGTCTTTCGGCTGCTCATTGGTTGCCCATATAACTGCTGCATAGAGAATTATTCTCTCTGCCACTGTCAGATATAATAGTTTCCTGATATGGGGGTTTTGTCCCCAATTTCTCCCTTGAAATTGCCTAGCTTTCCTTGCGATAGATGATGTTTTTGTACGTATTTCTTGGAGGTGCGGTAGCCAGGTGACTCCTTGTAAGCTTTTCTGACAGCTGGCCCCGTACCAGCATCTAGCTAATTAGAGGATCCCGCACATTTTCTGTGAGATTTAGGCCCGGCGACTGAGGTTCACACATACGTTGTATATCTTAACTATCCAAGAGCTCTGTAACAGCTACTGAAAGATGTGTTATAGTGTTGTTCGGAAGTCCAGACTCACAGAACCTCTAAACAGACGCATATAGACCACGTTTGCATGTAGATCACGTTTGTGCTGCCTCATGGTCACATCAAAACGTGATATCGGACGGTCAGTAGTCTGTTGTGTGCTTTGCGATATCTCTAGTTTATTTGAATTTAATATTTTATACATTTGACTTGTTTTGTAACTTAAGTTATGTCGCCACATGTGATTGGCTGAGTTGTTAGCATAAGGCTTGCCTTTTTCTCTTATTTAGTTTTAATGAAAGAATCTTTTACACACTTCGTAAGTCTGAATTGTTACTTAACGATAATTCGCTTAACATCTATCAAGTGTTTAGGCACGTTGGATGATTACTAAGCACCTTAAACTCTACAGCCTATTCTATTTCTTTTCACACTGTCTGACCATCTGTCTCTTCTCGCCATTATACCTATCCTCCACTTCCGTTGTTGCTAGTGGAAGACCACTGCTTAACTCTCGAGCAGCTGTTCCTGCCATTTGAAATGCTTTCTAGGCTCGTTAAACGATGCTGTGAGCGAATCTGTAATCCTCTTTCACACCTGTCACACTTTGATTCTTCTTCAGCTTTCCAATGGCGCAACCTCGGATAACGTCCTCCATATGATATCTCCCGGATTGCTTTTGGCCATATCCTACAGTAGTAGGCACAGGTTGTCGTTGAAATCACTGTGCACCTCGCAATAGCTTTCATCGAATTCATGAACGTACTCCTCCCTTATACACTTACGAGTCCCCTTATACACCTTAATACACTTACGAGCCATGTGACAAACAGGCACATGCCCTACTGCAACGGTCTTAAGCCAATTTCTTGATTGTTTTTTCGTCCCATTCTCGTGTCTTGTTCCCCCTTTTTGCTATAATGTTTGTACCAAATGTTCATTATGCAAACACATTTCTCGGAGTTTCGAACCGCAGCATTTGAATTAATCATAAGAATTTTTTTTAATTTTACTTATTAATTTTTATTAATATTATTTAAATCCTAATACATGCTCATTCATAACATCATTTTTTTCCATTACAGAGGGATGACCTCAGTGTTATATTTACTCAGCATGCTTTGATGTTAGATAGTTTGTTATCTACTCATCCTGTAGTAACTGAAGCTGTTGATTATTCTGAAATACCCACATCTCTTGACATCATATCTTACAGAAAGGTCTGTATTTGTGTATAGGACATGGATTTAAATAATATTTGAGTATATTCTGCGTGTAGAAATATATAAAGGATTTATAAAAAATATATGCTATGCATCTACCCTAAAGAAACCATTTATGTTAGCAGGCTTAACACACATCAGTTTTAACGCAGAGAATGTGACTTTTAACGCAGAGAATGTTATTTTTCATAAACATTAAATCTGATTTAAACACTTTTACAGTGTACTTCTGCTCATTAAGAAATATGATAATTTAATTTTTAGTTAATTTGCTTTCATCGAAAATAACATTCATTTAATTTAATTTATTTATTTTAGATTCTTATTTATTTTAGGTATTTCATTTATTTTAGGTTCTTAAACACCTGATATTTGTAAATACTTAGATTCTCTGTGATATACTTTTTAGATTAATGCGCTTAGGCAAAAGTTACTGGTAAATATGCTTCATGCAATCAATCATGTTTTAAATTACTTTTATTATAAGCCTTGCGAAGTTCCTTTATGCTAATTAACTATTTATTTTATGTTTTCACTTCTTCTTTTTCGTTTTCCTGCCAGAATGCAAATTTAGATTGCTGTATTTAAGGCGAGGTTTTTAGCTTGTAAGATCGAGCTGTTCTGCCCCGTGGCCACATTACTAGGTTGCTATTTAAGACTTAGTAGGTTGCTATCTCGTCTGAGTTCTCGTCTTTCGCCTTGCATTATAACTGCCCACAGTTGAATTCAACCCTATGAACCAACTTTGCGTTAAGCTGATTGTGTAGCCTTCAGCTACTAGTTTATTTGAATTTAATATTTTATACATTTGACTTGTTTTGTAACTTAAGTTATGTCGCCACATGTGATTGGCTGAGTTGTTAGCATAAGGCTTGCCTTTTTCTCTTATTTAGTTTTAATGAAAGAATCTTTTACACACTTCGTAAGTCTGAATTGTTACTTAACGATAATTCGCTTAACATCTATCAAGTGTTTAGGCACGTTGGATGATTACTAAGCACCTTAAACTCTACAACCTATTCTATTTCTTTTTATCTGAGTACTGAGCATACTTTACAAATACTACACTTTTTTACTACTAGACATTTGCGCGTGTCCATGTCTGATATGTTTCTTTTAATGTCTGTTTTATTTTATACTCATAATCTCTACGCAAAAATGAAAATATTTATTTAAATATTATAGAAAATATTAATAATTCTTCAACTTACATCTTCGTAGAAGTTCACATGATCCTTCGAAATGTTGCAAAAGGTTAACTACTTTTCATTTGCATTTACAAACATTAGTCACACCAACTCTCTAATTTCAAGAGTTTCCAGATAGACAGCTTTCTTAAATTATTTTATTCCTTCTGTTTAACTTTATTTTCTATTTCCTTATTAATTATTTCTCAGAGTAGAAGTCTATATCTTATCTTAGCTATTTGTGTATTATTTTAGTTATCTTAATTTAATTTTATTTTATTGTAACTATACTACTATATCAGCATGTGATTTTATTCACCACGTAACTCTTCTGTAGTGTAATAAAAATGAACTTGCTTTAATGCTTTAATTGAATTATATTTATATGAAAATTTTATAAATATTTACGCACTGATAGTCTTTTAATATATGATATATTTATTTCTTCATACATAAAAAATAAGAACATAAATATTATTATAATGAGCCTTCTAGAAGAATCTCTAGAATATTATTATAATGAGCCTATTTTTATTCTCATACCTTACTGAAGAGCAATTAAAAGGAATTTATTTTGTTAGCATAGGGTCCTGCTGTGATAAACATGTTATCAAACTTCCTTGGCATGGAAACGTTTCAAAAAGGGTTATCAAGTTACTTGAATAAATATAGTTTACAGAACGTTCGTAGTGAAAACTTGTGGAATGAATTTACTGAAGTAAGTGTTTTATTTTTAAATATAAAACATTTAAATAAAAGTTTGATGCATGTTGGTACATTTAAATTCAAGGAGCCATTTGCATAAAATGTTTTTGAAAATTTTCAATTTGTAGACGTAACAAGGAGTTTAATATATGATTATTTAAAATATTAAAGTAGCCTCTATTTTAAATATCTCCTATTAATGTAATTAAACGTTTTTTGAGCTATTTTTCTTATGAGACCTTTTCGCTTCAGATAACAGATTATTATTTGGGTTTTTTGTTAGTTTAAATTGTCATGTAGTTCGTATATAGAAACCATCAACACATCAGTAAAATAATGAGTTCTAAGATAGAACTTATCGGTGAAATGAAAGGTATTTTGGTCGTAACACATATAGGTTTTACATATTTTATCGAAACATTACTTGTTTCTTAATTGAAACTAGTGCTGTCAGAGTTCTTCGAAAGAAAAATCTCATCAAATTAATTTAATCTTCTTGCTATATACTATATATATTATTGGAATAAAAGTACTTACTTTCGGAATTTCTGCTCGTAGACATAGCCTTTCAGCGATAAAAATGTATTAAATGACACAATCCTGTTTCGGCTGTGTTTAGTTTTAAAAAATCAGCTTTATAAATGAAACAAATGGTAAATTTTTATGTGTTCTTCTGGTTCCTGTACACTCTGTAAGTATTATGTTAATTTTATTAACAATTACTTTTTGACCTAAAGTTCCTTTTCAATCGATTTTTAACTTCAGCTTACCACTTCCGGGCTGAACAAAAAAAATTCATCATTAGTTTCCTGGCAGTCACAAAAAAATCATTATTAGTTTTAGAATCACGTCTAAATACATATGAGGAACAGCGGTATTTAACCGCTAAGTTCTTCACTGTCTTGGTATTCTGTCTGCACGCGTCCGCCTTTTTATGCTACTCTCTCGTAAGCTATTATCACACTCCGGCCGTACTTTAGGCCCTTTGATAGCTTCGCAGTCTATTAACGTTAGGACCAACTCTTTTAGAATTTTGATAGCTTCGGCTATATCTCTTTAGTTTAGATTAGTTTAGGTTAATTCTTAGTATCTTAAGTTCAAGCCGAAGTGGCGGCTTTATTGTACACTCCAAGACGGAATTTTGTTAAACTTTAGTTGGAATAATAAAGAGCTAGTTTACCATTCTATCTTGTTTTTTCCTGTCACACGAACTCAAACGATTATTTTCTTATCAGTTCTTAAGATTCTTCATTTTCAACGGTAACTTAGAATTGCAAAGTGAGGTACTCTACAACTCATTTAAAAAAAAGAAACAAACAAATGTTTGCTCCCGTGTGACAAAAATTGACCAAGATAATTGATTTCAAAATCTGGAGTAATTGACTCTATTTTCTACTTTACCTGATGAATACGTTTGTATAGACATTAGGTTATTTTGAAGTAAGAGATGTGAAAACTGTGCAATGCCCTCGCCGGGACTCGAACCTGGACCTCTCGAATACGCGCTGAGTGTGCTACAGTTAACCGCAAAGGCATGCAGAAAGAAAGAGAAAATACCTTATATATTTTCCCTTTTAAAGGGCGACTGGGGATTAAGGGGACCCAATCGCCAAGTCCTGGAAGTGAAGAATCATCATCCACCACTTTTTAGTTTGGGCGCCACTGTAGAGTCATTAGGTTTTTTGAAGCAAGAGACATGAAAAATATGCAGTGCCCTAGCCGGGACTCGAACCTCGACCTCTCGAATACTCGCCGAGTGTACTGCCATTACACCACGAATGCATTCAGAAAGGAGAGAGAAAATACTTTATAAGTTAATAAATAAATTAGAAAAATTCGGGATTGTTTTCTCCATTAAATTTCATTCAGTGATATTCTTTTGAGACTTGCTAGCGTGTGACAATCTTTAATTTATAATTTTGTTACAACTGGTAAGCCGAAAGAAATTAATAAGCAATTTATAAGTTTTAAAACTCTAAAATGACATTACTAATATACTTATGAAGTGTTTATTCATGCTATTTTTGTTAGTCACAAAAAAAATCATTATGATGAAAATATATTTTTATTTTTAATTTATCAAAACTACAATAACTGAAGCTGTAATTTCATACTCGTATCATCTTTTATGAATGATCTTGAGAAACTACTGAATAATTCAATTGAATATCAATAATCTGTGTAATTTAAACCATGTGTTATATCCAATCATTACTGTAAAAATGTGTGATATAGTTTTACCTTTTAATCCATTTTGAATTTAAAAATTAATCATAGTTACATAAATTATAAAAAGTATTTATATGTATACGTTTACTATTTCTTTTATTTACTCTAACGTAATCATTATAATAATTTTGTTTTTTCAAATATTAAAAACATTTTGGAATTTAATGTAAAGTTTTCATCAAATTGGCACATTCTTTATTGATGTTAGCACTTTTTTTAATGCATTTACTCTCCTCGTTCACCACAAATGTACAACATGGGGCTTACAAAAGTAAGTTAACTGTAACTTACAAAAGTAGGTCCCATACGAGTATGAAATTACAGCTATGACATTACGCATTAAATATTACGTGCAAAATAAAACGAGCGAAAACAGTGAACAGCAGTCGAGACCACGGGTTCTCAACCGGTGGTGCGCAAGAAAAAAATAGGTGGTACGCAAAGAAGCAAATTATTTTGAACTACTAAATTCAAAAATTAAAACCCCAACATCCTGGTTGAGTTTTTTTCTCTAACACTCGTAAATTTATACTATCTGAGCTTTGTTCAAGAGTGGTGCTGGTAGTAATACTTTGTAGTGGTGTTGTACTAAAGGTTTTCAATTTTTGTTTAGACTGTACGCGTTAGTTAAAATGTTGAGAACCGCTCGTCTAGACTTCACAAAAACAGATAAATTCTCTGTCCAAGTCACCGCGAAGCTTTCCAAATCGTTCTGCAAGCATAATCCAGAGCTATCAAAGGTAGGGCTGGAAAAAGTTAAATGTTTCGTATCTTGAGGTACTTTTTCTGAAATCTCTGATAAATTGTTTGATTTTAGGTTGAAACGAAGCAAGTAACTTGCAAATTTACCTTGACTAGATACAAAATGAGATACTTTAAAACCAATAAAGGGCAAAGACTCGGAATGCTGCCTATGGTAAATAGAAGGAAAGAACTTTTTGATGCCCTCAGCATAACAAGATAAAATATATTCCTCATTTCACTTAGCTAAAGGATGGAAGGACTTCCAGTAACTCTTTGGAATACTAATATTGATATCTATGGGTTAGAACATGTTTAGCTAAGAAATAAGCTCTTTCATTTCCGTGGAACCCATGACGACCACGCACATAAGCAAAACGGATGCAGTTTCCCTTTTTTTATGCGAACTGACGGTTTTAATAAAGATTAGATTACTAATTTGTCGCTGCTGATAATACTGTTCAAAAGGTAAAGCGAACAATGAAAATCAGAACATATAAGGTACCTTGAGGATGCTGTTCCATTATCCATTATCCACTTGATGGCAATGATAAATACCGAAAGGTTTTGTTTGAAAAACTGTACGTTCATTTCGTATACGGTACTTAAAATGATAAACCTCAGACTGATCACCAAACAGAACAAATGCAAGAAAACGTTTCAAAACTGTGTTAGATATACTAAATACATCTTTTTATGAAATGATGCAGACTGTTTATTAAGTAGTATATGAATATATCTCATGTACCAACATGAAAATTAAATAACATATTAATGTCAAAAGTGATAAAAAATTAAATATATGAGAATTAATGTTTTCTGATTAAATTTTCATCTTTAATTTTTAGGTTGACGTATCACACATAAATGTATCACAGGTTATGGATGCATGGATACGACAAAAAGGCTATCCTCTCATTACAGTTACACATGAACATTCTACAGTAAAGATAAAGCAAGAGAGATATCTTCTTAAGGTTCCTGAATCCGATGATGCCTCGTCTTCAGACATATCTCCAGATGGCTACAAGTGGTTTGTTCCTGTTACGTATGTCACTAATCTTTCAAATAGACAGAACACCTACTGGTTAAATACGTCTAATGGTACGATCTGTTATTACCATGTATATGTTAAGTACTTTAAAATGATAAGTACTTTAACCCTTAAGTACCCTTAATTACTTTAAAATGATCAATTTTGATAAATGGTGAAATAATAAATATATAAAAATATTTTATTAAATTTCATTCTTTCAGGATGTTGTAAGACTTGATATAATGAAACTGTATAGAGGAAAGAAAAAACAAAATTAAAAAAAAGAAAGCTGTTGATGTAGCAGAAGAGCAGAATTTTTAAAGCGAATGTATTTATTTATAAAAATGAAGAGAAATTCAGAGTTACATTAGTAAAGGAATTACAGCTAATACACTGGTGTACAAAAATTAAGGACGAGACGGTTTTTTCAATATAACTTTGTACAAAAGCTTTCCAAATCAACACATTTAATACCGTAAGATCCCCAATACGTAAGGACATGAGTAATGTAAGCAACACTTACTAAAAGAGAAATCAGAGGGATAAAAAGAAGCTTTATTGAAAAAGTAGCATGGAGCGCAATGCGACTGAAGGCCGAAACATCCCTGTGATGGGTGTCCAGCAAGAAACATCCGGTCTTTAATAGGGGATATGATCTCCCTGACTGCTAGGCAGGTTTCACAGCGTCTGCCCATGCTGAGAATGAGGGTGTCAATGAGTTGTTGAGGCCCATTCGTCTTGCAGCGCCAATCGAAGCTCCGGAATCGTTACTGGTGGTAAGGTACGAGCTGCCAAGCGTCTGACTAGAAAATCCCATACATGCTCGATGGGATTGGGATCCGGAGATCGTGCCGGCCAATCCATACGTTCAATATCCTCACTCTCTAAGAGCTGTTCGGCAGCTACTGTGCGATGACATGGTGCATTGTCGTCCATAAAAAGGAACTGCGGACCCCATAGCGCCCCTAAAAAGACGCACATATGGAAGAAGAATCTCGTTACAATAACGGGTCCCGTTGACTGAACCTGCGTCGAAGATGTGAAGGTCTGTACGACTACCAAGCATGATGCCTCCCCAAACGAGAACACCGCCACCTCCCTACCTGTCCCTTTCAATGACGTTCGAGGCATGAATGCGGCTTCCCCGCTCTCTCCAGATGAGTATGCGATGAGAATCGCTACTCAGACTGAATCTGCTCTCATCTGTAAAGAGTACTCGTCCCCATTCATTGTCTCTCCAATTTCGGTGTTCCCGGCACCACAGAGAACGCCTTCTCCGATGGGCAGGCGTTAGAGGTACACACCGTACAGGTGTCGTGCAAACAGACCACCACCGTGCAGTCTTCTGGCCACGGTAAAACGCGATATCGGTCGTCCAGTCGCCTGTGTCGTGCGTCTAGCGATTTCTCCCGCTGTCTGCCGTCTGTTTCTTCTGGCCTGTAAGGCAATATACCGGTCATCTGTGAGTGTGGTTCCTCGTGGACGACCACTACTAAACCCCCGGATAGCTGTTCCTGTAGTTTGAAATTGTCTCCAAAGTCACGAAACGATGCTGTGAGCAATTCCGAACTCTGCAGCCACACTTGTCACACTGCGGCCTTCCTCCAACTTCCCAATGATTCGACCTCGGGTAAAAGCATCCAGATGTCGTTTAACAGATTGATTATTCGCCATTTCTCGCTGAGGCAGCAACTCGGTGTGATTTTAACTGCTATACGGCGTGCAATCTCTTTGCCAGAAATACTGATCTTACATCGACAACATGCTTTATATTATTCAGACACCCCCCATTACGTCTACCTGCATATCTGCTCATGTGCTACCGTACATCACCTTACTTAATCTCCTGATTGGTCTTTCTGTCCGCTCTGCCTCTTCGTTCAGCTGATATGCTAATTTTTCGACTTCGTCCTAAATTTTTGCACACCAGTGTATACTACATAAATTGCCACAATAATTCTTCATATATTAAAATCTGTGAATTTCGAAAAAACGGCAAGAAGAATAAAAAGGTTAAATGTGCTTATTTTATATGCAAAAAGAAAACATAGGCATTAGAAATGGTTTTATGTAGTACCTTTTGCTTTATTAGTGATGTTTACTGTTTAAACCGTACGTTTTAAAATAATGAAGGCTATTTCGAAGCCTATTTCAATTCTAAAATAGTATTTTTATTACCTAGAGATAAAATGCCATTTTTGCAGAAATTAAATCCGAAAACAGTAATAGTTTTATACGAGTATTTTTCTTTGTAGTTGACGTTTACAGTTTAATGCATAGTTTTTAAAATAATAAATGCTTTCTGAAAAACAATAATTTTGACTTAATTTTAAAATATCTTAATTACCCTTAGGTAAAATGTCATTTTTAAGGCAGAATTTGAAAAATTGCTTTTCAAGTAAAATGTTCGCTGCAATAACATACTGCATATTTGAGAGAAATCAAGTATTACATATCAGAAAATAATGTTTAAACATTTAAATTGAATACAAACACTCACAGACTTATTGCATATTTAAACTGAGCTTTAGATTGACAACATCCTTCAAATATTTAAAAGGCATTTTTATAGAATGACTGTATTTAAACTGTAATTACTGATAATTCATTTCCATTTCCAAATTAAAGATATAATACCATGAAAAACAGAAAACCGTATATGCGCTGCATATTTAGATGGCATTCTTAAATTTGATGAAATTTATAGTAATAAATGTAAACGTTTTTAATTATTCTGTTTATTTATGACACCATTTCTTACTATCTCTGAATTTTTATGCTCTTTAAAAGAACTAATAATTATGAATTAAAAATAACAGTTATGAATTTATTATGTAATAACGAAATATTCCACTGATTCATTCAAAGGGGTTTACATTAATTCTGGCCGAATAAAACTTTCTTACCTCTGCATATTAATTATGGTGTTAACTTATTAAAAATTCATTTTTAATAAGGATTTCTATGGATAAGCGGCAATATGGGACTTATATTTATGCTCAATCTTTCAACACGGTTTGTTTATATTTCTCCATGTAGAAAGAGAATCAAAGAATGTAGAATATCAAAGAAGTGTTTAAACTGATTTTAATATCTTGACTTATTTCCCATTTCCAAGTTTGCTTTGTGAAAGCCAAATAAAATTTTCTACATTTCCAAATAGTTTGTAAAAAATTTTATGTCAAATTTTATTTGTGTCAATAATGAATGCAACATGTGTCAGTAAATTTTGGAATTTTGTTCCAGTTCCATCACTCATTTTAATTCAAAATAATTAAATGTTCTTATATATCTTTCTTATATAACAATATTCTGCCCGAAAAATGAATATCATGTTTTGTACCCGTGGCAAATACATTGTCAATGAACTTTTAAGTAATATGAGGTAATGTTTTTGTGTGACTCCAAATAAAGTATAAATATAAATTTTAACTGTACTTTTTTGATTAAAAATATTTTAGGAGAATTTACTTTACCTGCTGAAGTAGAATGGCTAAAAGTAAATGTGAATCAAACTGGTTTTTATAGGGTTATGTATGATATAGCCTTATGGGAAAAGCTGATCGATGTTCTGCATTCTAATCATAAGGTAAAATATTTTACATTTAAGTATTTGCTTTAATGTTTTAATTACAATTAAAACCATTTAGATTGCTTGTTAAAATTAAAGGATAATTTGGAAGAAACATCTTCATTGCCCATTGGGATAACTATTGATGTTCTGAAAATGAACGCAAATTCGCATAGTATATGCAACTTAGATGACTACTGTGCAATAGATGCATATTGGAATTCGATTGTATAGTGTTATTTAAATATATTGCGGTTTTTGAGACTGATGATATTCATTAAAGAATATACGAATAAAATTTAAAGATGAAATTTAAAGTTCTCAAATTCGATTAATCAACTACATTTGTAACTTGAAAACATAACGTATGTCTATATCTATATCTATCTATCTAACCATACACGTGTGCATATAGTATATGTGTACGATAGAAACAGATACAAATATGCATGTATGTGTACGATAGAAATATATGAAGCAAAAGTCTAACTATAATTTGCAATCGTTCCTTTATTATTTATTTTAATTTGGCTATTTCCCATTTAGCTTCTAAAAATAGCAACTGTTTATAATAAATCTCTCTAAACTGTGTCATATCCAGATTAAGCCATAATGAATCTTGCATAACTCTTCTGAATACGGGATTTACGTAAACGGGTTCAGCGAATTAGATTTCAATCGAACCTGAATCTCGTTTTGGGAACCACAGATTTTTTACTTCTCTCACAGGCTTTATATGAATCAATCATATTTATTATGATCATAATTATTATAATCATAATTATTTTATTTCATCAATTATAATGTTATAAAATGTAAGGAGGCACACATGTGATGAAGAATGGGTACAGGCTAAATCCATTATGGTGTGCGGTTTATTATAAAATTGCGCTTCTCAGGAATTGTTTTGCTCAGAAACATTTTTTTTATTATTTACAAAAATATTTTTGCAACTACGTACTTGTACATTTCTGTATGCCATAATCATCTACAACATTGGCCATGATTCGAAGAATCAGCATCTTCTCATACACACACACATATATATTGTTTATTTTAAAAATGTGGCTTATTCTATCAGTATTTATATTTATATATACAAAGCCCATATTTCAAAATATATTATTTTTTATTTCAGCTAAGATTTGTACTTAACATTTCCTTATTCTTTCAGGTTTTCTCACCTGCTGATCGAGCTAATCTTGTGGACGATGCCGTATCATTTACAAGGTAATTATAGAAACTGAAAAATATTTTTTGTTTAATTTGCGAATTTTTATAAGGTATTTATTCCCACAGCTTCTGAAAATTATAGAACTCAAATGTGAAAACTGCTAGGATTGAAAACATTTTTTAAAAAAAGTGCCAAGTTAACTCGACCGTAGCTAAATTAACACTGTCTGCTATGACGTTTAGAAAAAGTTATGAATGCATTTTTAATAAATTCGGATTTCAAATATTTTACGTGCTATGTTTTTCAGTAAATCCTGGCGTATTCTTTTGAGAGTAAAGAATTTTTAGTGTTGGTATGGAAACAAACAACTTCCACTTTTAAATTATAATTTATCATTACACTACTATAATATTATTTAAAATTTATCGATATGCATTTGTAATTAAGGTGGGAAACAGGATATTGCTTTGGAAAAATTACTTACATATCATTTGCTTAAATCTCCTTTTCATGCGAAATTTGCGGGTTATTTATATAACTGAATTTGAGTATGTTTGAGTAACTGGAAAAGAATTCTATTGATTTTATATCACATTTTACAATGATGTATTATAATAGTTAGCAGCTCTAATTAAATATTTATACAACAAATGCTTGTCCTTTTATTTACTGGGTAACAAATAATAAGTACATATTTTATTTTATCGTCGGCTTAATTCAGTGCTAACGCGTTTTGGATTCATTTTTTTTCTTTCAATCATAAGAGCAAAGATAAATCTCTATAATATGCAAAATGCATCGTTCTACTCATTTTTGAAGAATAGCTGGCATTTAACTAAACTTGCTATCGCAGCCTTTATATTAGTAATGCGAAGAAATCTGAAAGGAAAATTTAAATGTTATGTGTAATTAGAGTTCAGAATTGGTTTTTCAAGTAATCAATTTAAATTTACAATTAATTACAGTTATTATCATAAAGGTAAGCGGAACTTCGTTGCTAGACAACGAAATATTTTGACATTAAAAATCGTAAAATATTTAAATTTGAAAATGGCAAAACATAAACATTTGGGTCTTTCAAAAGATTTTTTTGATTGGAAGTATCTATCTACGCCAACGGCTGCGAAAATAAAGGCCGAGTAAAGAAGAACTTTTGTGGACACGTTGTATTTGTCGAAAGTGTCTGGAAAAGAAATTATCAAAAAGAAAAAAGCCACATATATCCGAGATTAATGTGTTCATTTCATAATGGGTTGCAGAAGCTGAAAGAATTACTTTAAAATTTTCAGTATATTTCTAAGCGACATTTGTAGATCGAATTATGTCTAGGCGACACACTTCCTTATTCCTCACGTTCGAAAGCGTCAATGGTGTGAGCCATTCTATCGTCGTACCGCTTTCGTAATTCGGGCACGCAAATCTGCAAGAACTGTCTATAGACACTCTTTCCCAGGGATAAACAGCAGGGATAAATCTCTTTTAAGTCCTGCTCTTTCCTTCTCAAACCCACACAGAAAGAAATTTACAAGTGGTGAAGTCCGTCAAACGCCACACAAAGAAATCTAAAGAGATCGAGTACCTAAGAACTTAAGCAAGTTATTGTTAACGCTGCAGTGGGATGGAGGAAGAAATGCGTTCCAAGAGAAATTTCTATACATGGGCGTTTTAGATGTTTAAAGGGAACAAATTTTAGCCTCTCTCGATGCGAAAGAGTTAAAGCACTCTAAATTAGGGCCCCGGTGCGTTTCGACTAAAATTAAGGTTTGATTACCGAAACCGGGCTTCAGCGCAATTTCAGCGCTGGCTGGAATACATCCTAATTGATTCGTCGTTTTAAAACTGAGTTTTACACCGTATCGAATATTGTTCCGAAGAAAGTATGCTATCAAAACAGATTCCAGAGCATTTATGCAGCGTTTTAGATATCAATTTCATAGCAGAAAGATTTTTTTTAAATCTTTTAACTTCAATAAATATTCGTTATATGTTGCATACGTTTGAGTATAATATATGTAATGCAGAAGGTCCTGATTTTGGCTATTCTCTTTCGTGAGTATAAGCGCAGACATCATCATTGGTATAACCAAAATTAATCGGAGTTTGACAGTACAGTAAAATTAGTTAATTATTCCTATTACTTTCTCGCTAATTCTTTAAAATTACATTTGAGCACAGTGTGAATGGATCATATGTTAAATAAAAACTTTTGACGAACAATTTTGCTTTCCAGTTAATTGCTCCATAATCCATCGATTAAAAAACATTGCTTAAGATTAAAGAGATCAAATGTCATGTTTCATGTCGACGAATGAGAGATTATTTGCATATTTCCTCATTCTTGGGCATAAACAACAATTTTTAATTTTACATGCTTAGTATGTTGAAAAAATGTAAAAGGACTACCTACAGAAAATAAAATGTTATTCTTGCAGGAAGGCACATTATATCAAAATCTTCTTTTATAAAGTCGTGATAAATTATTCCTTCTATTCGAATGATTTAAACTCAACATCTTACAGTTACAGTTTCTTTCATAATCATTGATATGATACTTCGTCCAATCAAAATATATTTTGAGTGACGGACTTCGACATCTTTTTACACTCTGTCATAAAGCAATGTACCCAGTATTTGGAGAATTTTGTAAAGAAAGTAACCTACTTCTTTATGTTACTCATACAGTTCTATTAACATGAAACAGAGTTTCAGTTTAAAAATTTAAAACAATATGACTTCTTTGAGGAGTTAAAAAATGTATTCGAACATTTCTATAAAATCCTTCCTATAATTTATTTTGATTTCATAACTGCTGTGTTACAACTTTTAATTTCATATTAACTTTTAAAATACTTCTCTCAGTTTGGAACCAATATGAATTTTTAAATGGTGACTTTGAGAAAAACGATAAATTTTCTGTAACTGGAAGGAATGTTTTTAATGTGATAAATAAATAGTTCAAATTATAAAGGGTTACTTTTAAAGTTATATATTTAATAAATACTATCGCTCTGATAAAATGACGTACTTTCTTTATATTATATTATATTTTTATAAGAGTATTTTCGCTTACTTTGAAATGCATATTTATCATATGATTATTCAAGGTATTCATTGTTATTATCACAAATGTTTTTCATAAGAATAATTTTTCTGATTTTTTATAATTTATTCTTAAGAATCTTAAAATTCAAGTCTTGTCTACTTATTATTTAGAATGGATTTTAAACATTTCTTCCATGAATAATCAAATTACTTTTGAAATATTTTTGCATTTCTTGAATAATTTTCATTTCTGTATTGATAGTTTTCAATAAAAATCGTATTTAAATTTATATTTTAGATCAGGAATTTTGGACACCGAACTTGCTTTTAACTTGACACGTTATTTAGGAAAGGAAATCGAATATGCGCCATGGCGATCAGCCCTTTTTCGTTTTGAACACATAAATCTTATTATGAGAGATTGTCCTCTTTTCCTGCCTTTTTTCCAGGTATATGCATGCATTTCTATTTTCTAGAGATGGGATATTGTATGTATGTGCTTAACGGAATTTTCTCATAAAAAATCAGTTGCTTAATAGGTTTCAAGTGTAATAACTGCAAAACGTCAAGTCCGAGCCACCTTTCAATAATATGAATAAGCTGCCTATAATAAACATATTCAACTAATCTAATATTTACACTTTTACTTATTTGAGCTCATTTATAATTAATTTTTTTTACTTATTTAAAAAATTTTTTAATATTTTTAACACTTTTACTCACATCTTAACACGTTTACAAAGCCATGAGTCACTGCTATTATGCCAGGACATATTTTTTGAAGTCTAGTGTCTATGTTTACTAGAAATACATGTATTGAATTTCCTGAACTAATTTGGAATTTTTTGCAGTAATGAAAATGTTACTATTCATTATTTTTCTGTAACTGCATACACCGTCTCCAGTGCCATCCACAGTTTTTGAAAACGCCACAAAGTGTAATCTTTACAGTTTCAAACAAGGAAGGCTATTAATTAATTCAAAGAAAATTATTTTTATAATGAGAATATTTATTCAACGCAAACCTTAATGTAAATTAACTAGTAATGGCAAAGATCTGAATTCAGTCATATACGAAATAATATGATTAGTAGTTTATAATCAGTTAACAGATATTCAGTATTTTTTTAAGCACTGATTCGGCAAATGCATTACTGAATCAATACCTTTCAAATCTTATTAAGTTTTAATTGATAAAAATAATCGTTTAAAATTGATAAAAAAATAGTAAGGCATAATCAACATTAAACAAAAAAAAAAAGGGAAGAATAATGAAAAATGAAGGCATATACTGTAAAATATAATGTACGGTTGTAGGGATATTAGGTTATATTCGAAAGCAGGAGACTTGAAAATCAGCAACGCCTTCGCCGGGACTCGAACCACGGACCTCTGGAATACGCGCCCAGCATGCTGACAACTACACTACGAAGGCATGCTAAGAAGAAGGGAGAAATACCTTACATACTCCCCCCTTTTAAAAGGCGACTGGGGTTTAGGGGACCCAATCGCCAAATCCCGGGTGTGGAGAATCATCATCCACCAACCTTTTAGTTCGGGCGCCACTGTAGAGACATTAGGTTATATTCTGAAACAGGAGTGATGAAAAATGAGCAACACCTTCGTCAGGACTCAAACCACGGATCTCTGGAATACGCACCCAACGTACTGACCACTACACTATGAAGGCATGCTAAGAAGGTGGGAGAAATACCTTATACGGTAAAGCATTAAATTGTAATCTCGAATTTTTATTTTCTTCTTCAATGTTACACGATCTGAATATTATTTTATTCCGAATAATACGGACTTCATTTGAAATAAAACTTGTAACTTAAAAATATAATGTTCCGCAAACCCAATTTCCCGTTTTCTTATTTGGTTATTTTGATTCCAAACGGGCATGCAGATGTTCATTGCACTCCTTGTATGAAAGGAAAAGTAAAGCAACTAAAATGTTGTTTACACAACAGTATTATAGACTCCTCTTCTCCATATATTTAAAAATTTATTAACTGCCGGGTTTTTCTCCCTCGGTTCTATCTCCCTTATTGTATTCACACGACTAGCTGTAGCAAAAAAAAAAAAAAAAAATGTGGACAAATTTTAACTTCCAAAATTTCACAAATACTTACTCAACATTTACTTTGGGCGTCACTATAACGTCTAAGTAAATACTTCTACTCTACTCATCCTTAGAAGTTACCTCTGTGTGTCAGTAAGTTATCAGCTTAGCTAAATTTTGAGGACACATGATAAACCACAAAATATAAAAGATAACGTAATTTCCACTGGTGAGTTAATTTAAAATAATGTAGCACAGATTTAAAGTTCCAAAACATGAGCTTGCTGAAACTTTACAATATATCAGCTAGCAAAAGTTCTCGAAAATACAACCTAACTGCATCGAACACACAAAGCTCAACTAATTCACAACACCTACGAAACATTGCCAACGTCAGATTTTTACGTATGTTCTGATCAGCATTTTCCTTTTTGTAAGCAAGCAGCAGCGCTATTAATATGTTACGATTCTTCTGATTTGAACATACGGCACTTGCCATAAAATCTCGATAACCTTCTGGACTGAGCGAAAACTTAACGAAGCGAGGCATACAGAAATATATGTTGGTTTCAGAAAGGTCTGTTATAATTCAAAATTTTGTTAATTTTAATAACACTTTCACAGGCTGCATGTAACAAAAATGCTGAATAATTAAATTTTATATATGAATGTTTGATAATTATCTAGAGAATGGTAAAAATTTATATAAATTTTTAAATATTTATGCTAAAAACGTGCAAGTACAATCTTTTGTGCACGTATATAATGCATACATACTGCATCATAAAATAATTCAGCTTACGATGAGAGAAATTCACTTACTTAAAATTTTACTGAGTTTTCTCTCTGCATCAGCAAGCATGCTTTAATATTTATACACAAAAATCAATAAACAAGACCAGTTGTTAAACTATTTAACGACTATTATATTACTTTGAAGATTTTTCTTACTGGACTTATGTTTGTGGAGAAAATTTCTCACGGGTTGCTAACGTCTAATTTGTACATAAACATGGATAGTGCACGTATATTTGTAAGACATAACTTATAAAAATATTTTAGAATGCAATGAAGTTGCTTCTAGAACACACAGGTGAGAAAACAATATTCTTCTAACTCCATATTTAACTTGTTACAAAACAATACACTTCTACCGCCACACTTAACTTATTGCAAAACAATACTGTTAAACATTTTGTATTTAGATAGCTAATTTTAGCAGAATTATAAATAAAATTACTTTATTTCTCCGTACAATGCAGCGGGAGACTTTTAAAAGAAAGCTATACCGGAAAATTAAAAATACAGGAGCACGTGCATTTAACATTGCATAAATGAATATCTCAGAGGAAAATTCCAGAGTTCTATTATATTTCTTTTGATAAGAATAAATTTTATTAACTTTTTATTGAACTTGCACATTCAATCTATTCAGAACCCGTACGCACGCAAAACATTTTGGTGTCAGGAGTGGGATACAATGCTAGTGAGAACAGCGATGGAAGAACATTTAAGACAGTTGGTGGCAGACTTTCCTGCAATCAAATAAGAAGTAAAACCCGGCAAAGAATCCGTTAAACAACTTATGAAAGACGTTCAAGAAAAGATGGAAGCTCGTCAAGTATCTGTTAAAGTATTGATGAAAGCTAGCCAAAAATCTGTTTAAGAGGAAATGAAGGCTCTTCAAGAAAGATTGAAGCAAGTCAAGAGGAAATGAAAGGAGAAATTACCTGCGTAATAGAAAGAAAATTCTAGACTATGGGGGCCAGAATTAACGCTGTTGAAAATAAAGTTGGACACATTGAAGAAAGAGTTTCTTCTGTAAAAGAAATAGAAGAGAGAGTTTCTGCCGAAGAACAACAAATTGATGATAGGTTTTCTGCGGCTACCAAAGAAGTTGATACTTAAAGAAATTCGTAGCGACGATAGGGAGCAAGAGTGGGGGTTTTTGATTTTTAATGCCTGTTCGTCTCTCTTTGAAGCTATCCATGTATGATGGGTAGACCTCCTGGAAAGCATATAAGACACAATTTTCGATAGTTGTGAATGCGAATGGATGCGATTCGCAAACTAAGGTCTGTCTTCTTGCTGCTTCTCTGAGAGCAGACGCTGAGGATGTTCATCGAATTCTTCCAGAAAATCAGAGACTAGACTTTGATGCCCTATCCGGCATGTTGGAGCTGCGCTCTGGCGAGAAGTGTGTAAAAGATTACAGCAGGCTTCACTCAAAATCTCGTCAACAGAAGCCCACGGAAACACTCCGGGAACTTACCGCGGATGTTGAAAAACTGTCTCATCTCGCCTTTTCGGAATGCCCGACAGAAACAACGGAAATCCTGTTCCTGCAGTACTTCATGGATAGCATCCAGGATTCCAAAAGCTCTGAGAATGGCGGATGTCAAATATTTAATAAGCGCTCTAAGCCATGAAATTCGAGATAGCCTAGAGAGCAATTCCTAGAGATCGCCACCCAATCAGAGCTGCTTAAGTCTAAGAACCAATAGATCAACTGACTGCTTAATCAAAAACTCATTAAAGATTTAAAAATATAAAAAGATAATAAAACAAATTCGAAACTCTAGATTTGGGATTCCAAGTACCCATATTCGGGTGGAAGACTACATTATTCAAAATTTGATGGCTCTAGGTATCGTTGGTGTCTCTCATTGCGAGAAACATGCATACATTAACAGATTCTTCATTCTTTAATCTTGTTAAATATAATACAACACGATAATATTTGCTGACAACAATTTGAAAAGTGCTACAGCCGTTTACAGTGATTTGACGCAAAATGCCATTTCGAGACTAATAGCCCTTCTGAGCTGACCCCCCTTTGGGCTAAAAATTTCAGTTACAACCTATTTGAAAAGGCCATGTATTTGTTATTTCACATCCTTTACCTTAATTTTCTACCGTGTGGTGCTTCCATTTTAAATATGTTATAAATGTTTCAGAATCAACACATTTCAAATTATTTTCTTTTAAAGAAAATTTAAAAACTTCATATTTTGAAGGTGAATTTAGTCGTTGCCTCTGTAATAGAAATTCAGAGAAATATGTCTCTTGTCTTCAGCATTTTTCATCTTATGATGTCAATGTTAAATTCCATGGTAATATTAAGCAAATAAAATTGCAACAGCTATAAGATCACGAAATAGATAGAAATTTATTTCTTGGAACTTTCAATTCATAATAAATCTTCATTTTTAGTCAAAAGCGGCAATTTGTCCAGAAGGACTATTAATTTCGTTTTGTCATTTTGCGTTGAATCACTATGAATGTCGGTTCACTTTTCAAATTGTTTCCACCAAATATTAGAGCCTTGTATTATATTTAAAGAAATTAAATAATGAAGAATCTGCATAAATTTATGAATGTTTCTCGCATTGTGATAAAACAATGGTAGGTAGAGCCATCAAATTTTGAATAATGTAACGTTTCCACCTGAAAACTGATATCTGGAAGCCTAAATTTGATATTTGCAATTTGTTTTGTTATCTTTTTCATATTTTGTAAAACTTTAACGAATTTTTTATTAACAAACACAATGATTTCAAAGCGAGCAACGGCAACATTTTATGGATTGAAAACATTTTTATCTCCAGCGCGCGAGACTGTGTATCAGAAATTGTAAAAATATGCTCATTTTAAAATGATTTTATGATATTGTGTTGAACTGAATTTTATGGTTTAAGTGCGAAGAGCATGATATTTTATAAATGAAGATAACACACAAAACTTTAAAAAAACGCGCCTTTGAGCGTAATGTAAAATCTGAAAGCTTTTTTTGATTTCTCTCTGAGCAGATTTTTTTGATTTCTTTTAGTCGTATAATTATTTTATTAAAAGATCATTAAAATGCCAAAATTAATAAATATACTGCTTTCAGAAATATGTGCGGTATCTGCTAAAACCTGTTATCAGTACCCTAGGCTGGGAAGATACTGGAAGCCACATGCAGAAGTAATTTTTTATTTTTTGCTTTATATTTTTGTGTTTTATTGCCAATTTTTATTGTTTTAACAACGTTGTGATTCCTTTCAGAAAATTGCGTTCTGTTATTTTAGTAGCAGGAGTACTTTACGGTGAGGAACACACTGTTTATAGAGCAAAGGAAATATTTCAAGACTGGATGAAGAATGGTGTAAAGTAACTAAACACTACATTTTATATTTATTAACAATTTTGTGTAAAATTTAATGCTGTGATATATTTTGCAATTTTTAATTGTCATCAAATTGTAAGCTTAAAAAGTACTGAAACTTCAGTGTCCAAAGACGAAAATTAATTAATTATTTTAAATACAGATTAAAATGAACACTTTGTCCTTGTAATTCTAAATGTAACTCATTTAACTTTCCCAAAAGTATCCGCTAAATATGCTAAAACAGTCAGACATAATTCACTAAATAAACAATTTTGCAATTCAAATTTTGAATCACAGAGGAAAATTTGAATTTCTGATGGACGTTCAAAAAGACGATTTAAAACACTGCCTCTGGATGACCACCGTACTTAGAAATGTAACAAAAGCGTTTCATGTTCCCTGTCCATCTCTTGGTATAAAATCATAAATATTCTTAAATTTAAAGCTCGGCTTTTAATACAATTAATAATTTTCACAACTTGATTCAAAACGATTAGGTTTTCGGGGATTGTTTTGGCTACTAAAGCTTCAGGATGAACGGAAACTTGAATAAATATAGTTTCAGGTACGACTATTTTTTATTTGAGAAAAAATCTGATGTGTATACCACATGACTTCCTTGTACGGAATATTAAATTATACGTATTTCTTTCTTGAATTTCATTTAAATTGATTGGATTGAATTAACTCTACTTCGTCGACAGCGCATAAACCACAATACAATAAATGCACTCTTTAAAATTCACTATATTTGTTTACTATAACGACACTCTGAATGCACAAAATTTATATCATTTGAAGAATTATCGTTGCCACATGTTCTATTCAAATACTATAATAAAGCTAAAACGATGTATGAAAGAAATTAAGCAAACAAAACAGAAAAGAAAGAGTTTTTCACAGACAATTCAGTATTTCTCATTCAATTAATTCAGTTTTCACTTCGCGACAAGGACAAAATATGCATAAAACCTCAAAATATCTATATTAAAATTACGAAGTAAATTCTTAAATACTATTTTCCTCGAAATTCCAGAATAACTTCCAGAAAGGATTAAGCATGATTTAATTCGCAATAAAAATGAAGGCGTTATCTTTGTTGTTGCGAATGCTTAGTCTCTCTAGACTTGGCAACAAATCCGTACAATTCTGCCAGGTTTCAATATGTAAATACAAACACGGCCGAAACACGAAATAAAAATAATTAGGCTTAAACAGCCGCTTTAAAATTATTGACAACTCTAAAAATACTGCTTGCAGAATTTACTAAAGGCATAAAAACTTTAACCGGGAAGTTTAGAAGACAACATAATTCAACTCATCTTTAAGAGCAAAAAATGCACAATTTACAAACACATATAAGAGTAAAAAAATTGAGATCACTGAGCCGGGTAACAGAGTAAATATGGATATATATATAAATATATTTATATACGTTTGGTGCAGCCGATTGCAACCAAAATACGAGGTGCACATCTACATGTTATAGCAGTCCTATATACAAAATTTTAACGTTCTGAGGCTACTCGTTTTTGAGTTATGCGACATACGTACGTACGTACGTACGTTCTTACATACGTTCGTACAGACGCCACGAATAATTCTCTTCAAAATTCATTTTAAAGCAGTTTTATAATTTCTTTTGAGGAAAATAGTCTTTTATTCTGTCCTTACGTACAGATATCACGCAAAAACATCGTTAAATTGCATTCGATAGCGGTCAAAATGGATATTTTCGTTGAAATATGTTGCCTGAAACTTTTCGCGATTACAATACTTCCTTTTTACTTCGTACAAGGAAGTAAAAACACCGAAATGTTTTCCTGTTAAAGCTGAATACGACAATGCACATATTTCAAGTAATTATCTTTCTCAGACATAAAATTGTCAATCACTCACTGAAAATTTCATTTGCAGTATCATGAAACGATTCACAAAATAAATACTCTTCAGAAATTCATTTACCTTTTTCGAAATGTATGTAAACTCATAATTGAACAAAGTTCGTTAAATCAATTACAATACAAAATACTCAAGTATGCTCTACTTGTTGAATAAGTGTCCCTTTTATGGAGTTTGACATTTCATGAATTCGTCGACTTACTGTATCATCTGATAATGGAATATTATTAAGTTCATTAGCTCCTTTTTTGTTGAATAATGTTAAAACGATATCTCTAGCTGCTCGTAATATAAGGTTTTCTCCAACAGTGTGAGCCTTCCCAGGCTTGGCAATTCTTAGACTTACTAGGGAAGTAGCTTCTAAAGCTTTTTTACTTTCGAGATGTCTTTTAAGAAACTATGGTTTCATACCTTCATTGGATAATTGTTCACCGCAAACAATACATTGAAGCTGAAAATCCATTTTATCTCCATTCCATGTAAACCCAAATGATAAATAACTGTTTATAGAAAATATATCATTATATTTTCTATAAACATTTTGTTTTCAATATTCTTAGTGTAGTAGATTGTCCTGGATCCATCACCTAGTGAATCAACACTTTTTCGCTAAGCCAATCTTAGCCATTTCTTGTTTTTGAAAAGCTAGGTTTGTTTTATTATTTTTTCACAAATATTTAAATGCACAATATATTACGAGTTCCACAAGAACAAACTACGATATTCTCAAATCGTGTGTAAAATTAACAAATACAAAGCAACAAGAAGACAAAATACCTATGGTTAGAAACAGCAAATCGACGTCAAAAATTATTCTAATTGAAAATGGAGCAACATGAGTCCAGAAAATGGGGCGATATAAAGTGTAGACATGTTAATAAATCGATCAAATATAAAAGAATTAATAAAATGTTATTATCTTTTTATAGGAACTTATTTTTATTTCCTATTAAATATAACATCCATTTCTATTACTCCTTTCAAAACATCATTTATGAGAAATTTTGTTATGTCTACGGCTCAAGTATTTGCGAAAGTAAAAACGATTATTTTGCTAAAGTCTATGAGTGGCTATCGACCTTGAACAAAGCTCAGACAGCATACATTTCCGAGTGTTAGGGAAAAACCTTAAACAGAATGTTAGGGTATTCAGTTTTTGTATTTAATAGTTCAAAATACTTTGTTTCTTTGCATGTCATCTATTTTTGTCTTGCTTACCACTGGTTGAGAATTGCTGGTCTAAACGTTTTACTCGTTTATTTGATTATTAAGTTGCAACTCTGTGAAATGTTCACCCATCTTTTGTGGTAATTTCCGCCTTAATTGATCCGTAAAATTTATATTTACGCCGTTGTAATATCTTCCGATGTAGGCGTGAACGCCGCACAGAATTTGAGCGTCATCGTCATCCTACTGGAAAGAATCATAAAATCTGCCATACCACAGTCTAATCTCTGGATAGCAGACCAGACAGTAACTGATGCTATGTTAAATAGATACAGTTTACAAATAATGTTACAATTGTTAACGTTACATGTGTGAGAGTGCAATGTGTCAGCTGCATTAGCACAGTAAACATATTATAAAAACAGATATAAATAGATAAATATATTATGTACGCACATGTATAAAAAATGCACTTAAGGATTTTACACTCATTAGAGCACAGATGTAAAGTTAAGTCAGAGGACGAATACTATGTTCCATGTATGCTTAGGTACACTTATGTGTGTGTTACAGGTCTTAAATACACACACCACACACACACACACATATATATATATATATATATATATACATGTTGTACATACATATATATATATATATACACATGTTGTTACTTGCATTTAATTCAATTACTTGCTTTTAATATATTTCTTTTTACAATTGAAATGTTGTTATTCATGATTTAATTCAAGTCCCCGTTAAACATTTTTAACAATTTACATTCAAGTTACTTTAAAACAATTTTCGAAATTGAACTTACTAACTATGGATTCACTCTTTTAAGATAATTCTACTGAAATTAATCTTAGGAGATAATATAATCAATATTTCTTTAGTAAATAAATTATTATATATATACACTCATATACTACACCATTTCGCTTCAGTTTAATCTCTAGTTCTAGATTTTTCAGTGCATAATCAAGCTTTTTCTCTACCTATTTCCCAATTTCATTTTTTCTACCTATTTTGATGCTCTTACTCAATTTTTTCTTCCGCTCCCACTTCTTCGAATTTAATTTTCTCCTTCTCTTACCGGTTAGCAATAATTGCATTAAATAAATTTCTGGTAAACTCTTCACTATGACTTCCCGCTTCAATAGTTACAATCCATAACTAAGAAATGTTTGGATTTGACAAATTATGTATTCATGCAATTAAATCAATCTTACGAGTTTTACCTAACTAATCAAGCCATTACAGAGAAATGGATAAATTTAATAAAAACTATATTCACAATTTGAAGTGCTCGTTTCACAGCTATCATTATTTTTGTCAAGCCTAACTATATAGTGCCAAAGAAATTCTTTATTGCCTGTTTTCCCCTCTCTGTCCCTCTGACAACAATTGCATTTCTGACAACAATTTTAGGGGTTCGACAGCTACTTAAATTATACTACGTCACTGTTGATTACTTTCATATAAGTGCTTAATTTAACACAATTTAACTTTGCACCAGCATACAAGAAAATACAAGCACAACTGATAATTACATATTTAGAATTATAATCCTCTGCGTTGCTGATTTAAAATTAAACAGTATTCACTTTTGTTGGCGGGCGGATATTTGAATGCCTTAAAACGTATTCTTGTGTGTATAAGCTGCACTCTTGAATTTTACTTATAATTTCGAAAAAACAAATTTTTCGAGAATAAGTTGTAGGTAGCCTGTCAAACATCAATGATACTCTTTCCTCTATTTAGAGGATTAAAAATAGCTAAAATGAAAGCGATATTTACCACACACTGAAAGAGCATTTTTATTGCATAAAATACAAAAAGAAACCTGTTTCTGTGTTTAGTACTTCTTATTCACTGTCACTGTCAGTACCACTGTTTGCCATCTGAATATTTATCTTTGGTTCCGGTATCTCACAGCATGTCATCCTCAGAGTCATCTAGAGCACTGAATATTCCTCACTTTAAGAATACTTTAATGACTGTTTCAAATTTGATACTTTTTCCAAAGCTGCTATAATCCTCTGGCACACACACTGCACATTCGGACGTTTGCTTCTCCCTTTATGGCCGCGGTTTTCCGTTCTTATTAATTTTTATAAAGCTCGAATTAAATGTTAAAGGAGCAGTTAACCGTATCATCAAGGAGCGGATGCATGCAATTTAGCCTTTTATAGGAGCCATATCTACCTCCATTTTTAAGTCTGCTTCAATTTCCTTTTTACTCGAACGTGACATGGGGAGCTTATCGAAACTAACATACTCAGCAAATCATTAGATACTCTATACTAAACTGTTTTTAGCCACTCAAAACACTCAATTTTCTCACACGCAGCGCTTTTCCTGGCAGTTACGTACTATCGCTAGAACTGCCAAAGTTAGTCAGCCTTTAGCATCTTGCTAGCCGACTTCAAAATACACTCCGTTAACTACCTTGAGAGAGTTTAACTAGTTTGTTGTGTGTATAGCCTTAGGCTGGGTTACCTAATTGAAATTAACTTCATCCTAAGTTAATCCTTCATTCCGCACAAGTAGTGCCTTCTGTTCGTTTAAAAGTTAAATAAAAAAAGGTTATTTAACCCTTTTTATGACTTGCCGTAACTCGCTCACGACTCGTTTCAGATCAAAGCCATAACTCGCTTCAAGGGTAATCAGGTTTGCAGGACAGGAACACAAGCTTATAGACATAGCAGAACCCTACAAAGCGTAATATAAAAACATAAAACGAAAAAAACAATAAAAAATACGAAAAATGCAAAACGAGTAATTTAACGAGTAATTTTAAAATTAAATTGAATAATTTTATATCAAATTGTAAAACTTTCACTGTGTAAATCTCAGTTACCGTAGAAAGAGAGGAGTCTTAAGAACTAGATAGCGAATAATCTCTTAAGTTCGTGTGACAAGAAACAACAAGATAGAAGGGTAACTAACCCTTTATTATTCCAATAAGATTTTAACAAAACTCCGCCTTGGAGTGTACAATCAAAGCCGACACTTGGGTTGAAGTTAAGAGACTAAGAATTAAACTAAAACTAAGATTAACCTAAGAAATATATCCGAAGCTATCAAGTTTTTAATGCAGTTGGTCCCTTAAACACCAGATAACTGCAAAGCTTATCGGCTTGAGTACGGCCGAGCGTAATAACAGCTTTGAGAGAGAGAGTGGTCAAAAGGCAGACGCGCGTTAAATCAGAAACTCTGATTCTCTCTCCCTAAGACTAAAGAACTTCGCGGTTAAATACCGCTCTTCCTCATTATGTATTCAGACGTGATTCTAAAACTACGTTCTGGCCGGAAGTAGCAAGTTGAAGTTAAGAATTTGACAGGAAAGGAATTTTAACTTAAAATTTAACTGTTAATAAAATTAACATAATTCTTGCAAAATAATAAAACAACTGCATGAATACATCAAGTGCATCCATCACATTAATTAAAGTTAAATTCTTTTCCCAATTTAAATGTGTTATCTTGTTTCTGAAAACTTTACATTTATAAAATTGAAAGTAATAATGATCCAAAAAATAATTATGGGTTATTACCTGTATTAAGATTATGTATTGTAGAGAAAACCGTAAGGAGTCGAGAAAGTAAACCATTTCTTTAAAAAGGGTCAATTAAAAAAAAAAAAAAAAAAAAATACGAATCCTTGCTCTATAGCTTCATAGCACACACCTTTTTTATCTTTTTGCTTTTCAATCATAAAAATGAATTTTAATGCTTATGAATGGTCCTTTAGTTGTAAGTAATATATAAATCTCAACTTAGCAATGCATAACTTGTATCTAAAATGTTTGACAGTATGTTCATGATTGCTGCAATATCTACTCATGAATTAAGTTCATATGCTCTCATAATATGTTTAAATATTAATTAAAACTTTTCACAGAAATTGTTCTCTTAAAAAGTCTAGATAATTTACAAAAATATTAGACAAAAACATTTCTCGATAGAGTAAAGTTATTTCAGAATTTTTTATGACATTATAATTCTATTGTTTTAAAGCTATTTACCATAGGGTCTTTGATGTTATTTTACTTTTTTTACTTCTGCTAATTTCAATAATTTAAATTGTTAGAGTTCCACTGAATATACGTAGTGCTGTGTATAATGCTGGAGTGAAGTATGGTGGTAAAGAAGAGTGGGAATTCTGCTTAAGAAAATACCAAGAAACACAAGATTCTTCTGAAAAATACCTGCTTTTAGTTGCTTTAGCAAGTACACAGGAGACCTCACGATTATCTCTGTAAGTTAGTGCTTTTCATTTGACATTTTAAATAGCAGTAAATTGAAGGTGGTAATAAATAATACTTTAAATGAAAGTTCTAATGAACGTTCTACATATGGGTTTAACTATTTCTGCGGTTTATTAGACTCTTTCTCTTCAATGTTATATATTAAAATTAGGTGCTTATATTAATTTTCAAAATGATCAAAATTAAGTAATATTAACATAATGTTTATTAAAATTATAAGATTTATGAAATATATAATAAATTTATAAAATATATTATACGTTTTCGGGTGCAGAAATGCACGTAATATCCGTATTTTTTAAATCTTGCCCTCGTGTCTGTTATAAACATGCGAATTAGAATTTTAATTTCTAAAGGACTGCCTAATAGCTGTAATAATGGCGCAATGATCATTTTGGCATTCACTTATGAACTTGTTTTAATGGGAGCACATATTTAAACTATCTTAAATTGGTGAATAAATTCTGTTTTACCGCAATTTGTGTAAATTTACGTAACCTACATATGATCTCATATTATATGAGGTTCACATTTTCCAAAATGTGAATGGGATATAATGTGTAATCAAATGTAAGGTAAATAAAAAATTATTTTCTTTTGTCAACTACATATTCTTTTATTAATCTGCTGGTAATAATCAGCATAGTGTATGCTATTATGTAGTCTTACTACAGCCAGGTATTTTAAAGCGTGCACCTTGCACACAAAAAAAGAGAGTTCTATATCTCTCGTTCTACTGGGCTAATTGACGAAATTTAACTTGCTTTTTCATATCTCGAAAACGCGACTTAAAATATATTTATTAGATTTATTCACAGAATTGTTCTAAAATAGGTATTTTGACCCAAAATAGGACATTTTAAAAATAACATACTGATTTTTTTTTCTATATTTTGATTCTGCGACTCAAATTATGTTCAAGTATTAAGTTTTGCAAAATTTGATGAAAAACTTAACGAGAATTTAAAAATTTGAATAAAAAAAAAATCTAACTATCTGCAGTAATGCCTAGAAACACATTTCGTTAAGGTGATGCTAATATCTTCAAAAATACAAATTTAAAAAATAAATCAGAAAATATCTGTGAATTTTGTTTGTGTTGAACCTAAATTTCGAATTGTGAAAGAAGGAATCAAATAAATTTTATAACAAAAAAGAGATATACCAAATTCTCTTAACATTGAGCTAAAATTTTTAGAGTTATTTTTTTAAAAACTAATTGGCATTTTGGTATACTTTGAGTCGTAAAATTGAAATATAGAATAAATGTGGGTATTTTATTTCATAAAAAGTCCTATTTTGTGTCGAAATACCTATGTTAAAATAATACTATATATAAATCTAATATATATCCTAAGTCGCGCTTCCGAAACATGAAAATCGCAAGTTAAAATTCGTCAATCGGCCCAGTAGACCGGTAGATATAGATATATCCCTTTTCCTTGTAGAAGGTGAATAACCAAAATATGGTTTCATTATAAGACTAATTAAACCCAAATACACACAAATTGCGCAGTGTAAAATAATAAAGAACTAATATATTTATACTAACATGCTTAGTAAGCAAACATTATAGAAGAGGACTGAAATAAATAGAAAACCACATCATTTAAATAGAAAAATAGTTAATTTATGAAAATCACGTCACTTTCATAATTTTTTACATGAGATATTTTTTACATTAGATAAATTATTTAATATTAAACTCAATATACATTCACAGACGCACGCATCTATGAAAATATGAAGTTTTGCATTTACATCACTTATTAGGTTTCCAAATAATTTATGTCAACCAATTAATTCTTTTATATAATAGATATATATTATAAGAACCTCTGGCCTACGAGCGACTGTGTTGTAAGATCGTTCAACTCTGATAATTCAGTTCATATTCAGATTTTTATAACCGGAGTGCTTGCATGAATGTTCTTGTAGTTTTCTACCTGTGTAATGGAAATGCGAGGTAGTTTCCCTTAAAACTTCTTTTACCTAGAAATTCTTCTCCTTAGACAAATATTCGATTCTTCTCCTTAGAAACATTACATTTTGTGTCATAATTTAGATAATCTTTAGGAATATATATATATATAGTATTATCAGCAACTTACTGCCCATCAAATAGAAACATTGATTTTTTTTTCCTTCTAATGCCACGATGTTCATGCTAATGCCACGATGTGTTCAAATAGGAGTTAGAAAGGTAAAATGAGGAAACAAACTTGGGAGAAGTATCTTCCAAGTTCAGCTGAGAACAAGGGAAAAACTTTCCGTTAAATCTTTACCAGATGGTTAAGAATGCTTCATTATGGAGTAATGCTCTGTTCTAAATATGGATACCAGCAGACTCCAATCCTAAACAGCTTGCTCAAGCCCTCGGAAGTGTGATACGTGACACGCCTTGCTTTCGCTGAGATAACATGGAACTATAGATAATCGGTCGGTAGCACATCGCCGTAGACAAAACTGAAAATTTCCACGTTTCATAGGAAACAGTGGAAATTGGTAGCAATCTTACTGAAATCCTGTTAACGATTATCCCCAATCTCTGTTACTCTAAAATGCATTTTAAAGTCGTATCGATCCTCCAGTTACGTAGAATTGTGGACCTAGACAGAATTAGGGAATTTTAATAACTTGACCATCATCTGTAGCTGTCGTTACCATGTCTGCAAGTAAACCTAGAAGAAGAAAATGTCCTTTAAAGTCTTATTTTATAATAACAGTTTATAGTGTCTACATTGGGCCGACGTTGCTTCTCTTTGATTCCAGATGGTCAGTCAACTAGCTGTTATATAGGCGATTCTTCCCAGACTCACTAGCATTAACTTCGGCCCCAAAGGCACGGACCTAAAAACCACTATAAAACTTAAAGACAACCTCAACAAATTCACTAAAACTGACCACCACTTGTGGTAACTAATAGCACTTAAAAAGGATACAAAACTACAAGACTACAGGCCACATATCATTACTTGTTAACTAATCATTGGCCTTTAAGAGAGGCCTTTACTTGAATATCCTTCTGCTCTATCACTGGACATTGACAATATAAATAAAACAAGTCGCAGATCGAAAGTCTTTTTACCAAGCAGGTGAGGAAGGCACACAGAGAGGGAACTAAAAGAAGTGCAGGGGTGTAAAATCAAATCACACTTGAAAAAACTTACAGAGTCTAGAAGAAATACATGACTGTCATCTATGGGCTTCCTGAGCATAGGATTCATTTAGTTCTACACCAGAAGAATTATGCACAAGTAAATATTTATATGAAGATATATGCATATGATATTACTAAGAGATACTAGTAAAACAATATCACCAACACAAATTATGATAAACTGTTCTTGCCTCCTTATAAGGCTATTCGATAATGTAATCATAATTACTGATTCTATATATGATATCAAAGTCTTGAGTTCTGAATTGTTTAGAAAAATTAGCCACATAAATAAAGATTTCGTGGTCTTTAGGTTTGAATGTTATACAGAACTGCATTTCTTATAAACTAAGGCGCATGACGAACCATTCTAATAGCTTTATTTTGCAGTCTTTACAGCGTAAGTTTGTTAGTATGAGCTGAAGCTGCTCAGATAGGCATAGCATAAACCATGATTGGGTGAATTAATCTTGCGTGCATACATTTCCTTTTATTATATTTACATTTCAAGGAGCATTTCTTATCATTAAAGAGTTGGCACTCATCATGATTTTAAAGGTTTATTCCAGACTTGATGAATACGAAATTTTAAATTTAGGTTTTGCTTAAGGAAAACACCTAAATAATTTACTTTGGTGTTACATGGCGTGACTTGGCCATTTAGGTACAAATCTTCAACTTAAAACACACAGTCGGATTTCTAAGAATAAGAGTATTCTTCTGTAAATTTACCTTTATAGCAAATGAAGGTCAAATGGTAGTCAAATACTAATACAATGATTCTGAAATTTTAGGTGCATTTATTTTGCATAAGGTAGAATGAATGCATAGAACTTCAAACGGAGATCAGTAGCTCATAGAGCATATCGAAACAGACACTCTGGAAAGCAAAGGTGACATAGAAATGACAGTTGTTATTGTTTTCGTGACCCATATTTGATAGAAGAATGACTGCCAGAATCTACTCCAAAGAAAGGTCGGACTTCTATTCTCCCCCCTCCCCCAGTTCTGAGGGAGAGGACCCTGAGGGGTGTTGCGGAGGTCTCCCACGCCTCTATTCTACCACCAAACCACACGAGAGGAATTTCGGCTCGCCGCATATTTAGAGTGCCCCCGTGCTGCACGGACACTATACATTTAAAAACATCCATGTCTTCTCCGAGATCCGAACCTGTGTCCTTTAGTATCGCATAGGCTTCCTTAACCACTATACCGTCTAGGCGACAGGTGTGTTTGGTGTATGTAATTATGGCAAAGCACACGAGGGCTATCTGCCTAAGGGGAGGGTTGCCTTCGTGGAGGACTTTCTAAGGGAAACTGGCTCGTATACACGTTACAAATGGGGAAAACCACGAAAACGCCCATGCAGCCAGCCCGTTCGCGGGATTCGAACCTCGGACCGAACTACCAGTGTTCAGCGACTTTACCGCTCGGCCGCTGGTGGGCCGTCTGGGCGACAGAAAAGACAGTAAAAAATATATATAAATAAATAAACATGTTTCCATATGACCTTGCATGCGCAAAGAAAACGCAAACATAGCGGCCAGTTTTAGTGAGGTAGGTAGATAAACAAGGCCCGTCATAAATTACGCTTGTGGAAATAAGATGGAATGGAAGTATGTGGTTAAGAAGGCAGTCTACTGTATCATGATAGTGTAGACAAGAAAAGATAGCGATAGCTGTCAATATGAAGCAAATAAATAATATTTATGAGATATTCTTTTCGAATGTAACGGTAAGAAATTAGTTAGGACACTTTATGTAGCACTTTTATGAATTTAGCTATCCTTGTACCAAAAGAATTCTATCAAATCATATTAAATATCCCACAACCTTTCCCAAATATGCTTTTGCAGAGTATATTATCACTTTTCCCCGCGTATTTTGGTATCCGTTTTGTTTGTTAGAAATCAGTCTAGACTTCACAAATCAATAAGAAAGTCTTTGGAATCCTGTTTCCTAGCTTGGCTCTGTAATTTCAATGCGATCACCGACCAACAAACTAATTAGACGTATATTTTATGAAGGGTTGGAAAACTTACTGGAATTATAGATAGCTGTGTTCGAAAGATCTCTTGATTAAGAAATAAGCAAGAAGTTTGTTTGGTGTAGTCCCAGTTATAGTAACATGCCTACTACAACAAAATGTCACTACATTTCTTTTAGTATCTTCATGGCCTACATAGATCTGCACATATTGTCAGTCATAGCTAGAATGCATAAACTGATTATAAAAATGCGGTTTGGTAACCAGATTCTCGGTACTGAAAAGCAAACTAATGAACTTAGTTATATGTAGTTAAAAACATTTAAAGAGTGTAAAGAGAGCAGTTACAATATACGTATATTAAAACATGATAATATAAGTGAAAATCCATGATTCATATATGTAAGTCATCCACAATGTTTACTTAACATCAATTTTCTTCTAAATGTTTTTATATTTTAAAGCATCGTACTTGTTCAAAACTAATTTTTCATATTATGTTTTACAGGTACTTAAATTACTGCTTGGACGAGGAGATAATAAGGCCTGAAGACGCGTTAATAGCAATTGTGTATGCTGCTCGTAATTTAATTGGCCCTTCAGTAACGTGGCCATTTGTGCGCTCAAACTGGAACACGCTTTTGCAGATGTATACTAATGTTTTTATTTATATTTTTATTTATTTAAAAATTTATATGTTTGATGATATTCTTGTAACATATCTTAGCTGAAAAAATCACAATACTCTAAAAATATTATTCAATATAATATAATTTCGAATTTTCCCAGTCAATGTTAAACTTATTTTATATTCTGTTTAATATACTATAATAATATTTATGTAAACGTAGATACGTTTAGAAAATGTATCTACGTTTTCTAAACCGTTTTGACACAGCAATATTGTGTTTTTAAATGTTCAGTTATTCTTAATGAAGAATTATTTATTGATTATGTTCAAAATTCTAATGATTTTCAGAAATGAATTCTTATATGTTATAGGATACATATATCAGGCTATTAACATACAATACATTAAATCAGAAGTCAAACAACAAAAATCAGCGTTATGTTTTCAAATTTTCACAGGACTAGTTTCGATGGTTTTACCGAACTGCCATCCTCAGCTCCAAAAGCGCAAATGAACGAGATACGATATAATGATTAGATAAGGAAGCCTGGACAGAAAATAAGCCAGTGGCGCCATCTGTTGATGAAACCAGAACTAAAAATAATTTCTTTAAAGGCCAAAAGCAAAGATGAATTGGAATTAACATAACATTGAACTAGAACAGAAAGACATTTTTGAATGTAAAATGCCTCTAGAAAATCCAGGTCTCCAATGGAAGATGTTTTTTGCATAATTTTGGCAGCTGAAAAATTGAAAGTGTGATTTTCGGACCAACAATGTTGGGCAACAGAAGACTTCTGTGTTTCCTTTTTTCTAACATATGGCTCGGAATAGGGTCCTTGAGTATGGAACTAGGAATTTTACTGATGGGAGAATAAACAACACGAAAGTTAAATTTCTGCAAAATATGTGCAACTTTATCGCTAATTGATGGAAAGAAAGGAATGACAACAGAATTTTTATAATCTCCTAAAACAAGAGTGTGCCTTTTAGTGTGTTGAGATGAGAAGTTTTTAACTTCCTAATTAAAAATGTTGGATGAAAAGCCCCTATCAATAGCTATTGTTTTTAAATAATTAAGTTTTTAAATCATCAAGGGCTAGTTTGGAGGAACAAACTTGAAGAGCACGTAAAACATAGGAATAAAATGAAGCTAACTTTTGTTTAGTCGGATGACATGATTTAAAGTGTGGTGGAAGGCAAACCAATGAAGGTTTACGGTAAACCGTAGTACTGAAGTTGGATGTGTTATATGTTACCAGAATGTCGAGAAACGGAAGAGAATTGCAAGTCTCAAGTTCAAAATGGAACTGAATAGCAGGCTCAATGGAATTCATTGTTGAAAGAACTTTATTTAAATCATCTTTATTACCTTCAAACAGGGTAAATGTATCGTCTACGTAGCGGAACCATGCCGGGAAGTTTAAAGTTCCAAACAATTTTGATTCATAATAATGCATGTAGATATCAGCCAGGAGGGGACTGAGGGGGCTTCACATGGCTAATCCCTCAATTTGCTTGTAATATTTATTTTGGAAAACAAAATGTGTTTGTTTCAGAGTTGAGTGAGAGAAATTAGCTCATCAATTTCGATGCAAGACAAATGAAATTCGCGAAGTCTGTCTAGAAGATGTCTAGAAACCAGACTTCTTCTTCTAGCCATTTTCTAGACAGACTTCCCGAATTTCATTTCTCCTGCATCGAAATTGATGAACTAATTTCTGTCACTCAACTCTGTTTCAGTACTACGGTTTACCGTAAACCTTAATCGGTTTGTCTTCCACCACACTTTAAATCATGTCATCGGACTAAACAAAGTTAGCTTCATTTTATTCCTTTGTTTTCCGTGCTCTTCAAGTTTGCTCCTCCAAACTAGCCCTTGATGAAGAACTTAATTATTTAAAAACAATAGCTATTGATAGTGGCTTTTCATCCAACATTTTTAATTAGGAAGTTAAAAACTTCTCATCTCAACACACTAAAAGGCACACTCTTGTTTTAGGAGATTATAAAAATTCTGTTGTCATTCCTTTCTTTCCATCAATTAGCTATAAAGTTGTACATATTTTGCAGAAATTTAACTTTCGGGTTGTTTATTCAACCATCAATGAAATTCCAAATTCCATGCTCAAGGACCCCATTTCGGATATGAGTTCTTAGGGTATTTATAGGATTCCTCGCCAGTGTGGTTTAATTTACATTGGCCAAACTAAGAAAGCCTTAGAATTTCGCGTCAATAAACATGAGGCATATGTTAGAAAAAATGAAACACAGAAGTCTTCTATTGCCCAACATTGTTGGTCCGAAAATCACACTTTCAATTTTTCAGCTGCAAAATTATGCAAAAAACATCTTCCATTGGAGACCTGGATTTTCTAGAGGCATTTTACATTCAAAAATGTCTTTCTGTTCTAGTTAACAATGTTATGTTAATTCCAATTCATCTTTGCCTTCGGCCTTTAAAGAAATTATGTTTTAATTCTGGTTTCATTAACAGATGGCGCCACTGGCTTATTTTCCGTCCAGGCTTTCTTATCATATCTAATCATTATATCCTTTTTCGTTCATTTGGGCTTTTGCAGCTGAGGATGGTGGTTCGGTAAAACCATCGAAACTTGTCCTGTGAAAATTTGAATATATAACGCTGATTTTTGTTGTTTGACTTCTGATTTAGTATTTGTTCGGCGTGTTGGCGTGTCTTAATTATACAATATATTCTGCATTATTGCCTACAACCTGATACTATCTGTCAGATATTAATATCTCTTACATGTAGAATTCCTCTAAGGTGTTCTGTTGTTCCCTGCGAAGATTCTCTGCATCCCTATCCTTCTAGTGATCCTGGCATTTTAATACATAAACACTGTGCAACAAATAGAAGTGGTGCTAATCCATTGGAGTAATATTCGCTGAAGAGGAGTGTGTTCTGAGCCCCCAGCCTTAAACGTATTGCAAACTCCATCCAACTGATGTATGAGGTCTTGTATTGTCAAGATGTTATGCAATCCATCAACGACTCATCGATGATGAGGGCTTTTCTCTTGCAGCAATGAGAAGACAATCAGCTGTTGCCTGTATATGTCCCCATTCAACATTTGGTGCGTGGTAGCAGCTCCCAATAAATCACGCCTCTAAATTCCAACCCATACTTAACAGAAAATATTGAGGATGTGATTCATGGTTTTACTCTCCAGCTTGAATGTTTATCTGGCTTACAAATGACCCTGTGAATGATTCCCAAATATTTTCACGTCATATAGCACACCTCAGAAACATAAGTATAACATCAGAGCACACTTCACAAGTATAAGTAATGTTAAAATACAATATGAAGAATCATTTCTCTAATAACATGATCATTTTCTCCTATTTCATACTCACTACTTTACAAAGTAATTAAATAAAAGGATTCAATTAATAAAATCTTTCTTTCAAACACTTTGGCATTTTAATACATAAACACTCAAACTTCTAGCCAGACTTTAGTTTCGATAAGTCTATTCATGGAGTTTTAAGCAGGAAGCAAGTTAAACAAATGAAGTAAAATTAATTAGCTCATACATTCTATGTCGTACTAAACGTAGTTTCTATATCGCGGAGCCGCGACAAGGGTGAGGCAAGTGAGGCACTTGCCTCAGGTGAATCACTAGAAGGAGCCCCAAACTGGCTATACGAATTCGAAAATTATTTTAATTATGTTTTTAAATTTCTCAGTTATTATTAGGGGAAATAAGCTTCGTCAAACTTAAATTAATAAAACAATAGGAAGAACTGCAAAAAAACCTGGAAATTAATGCCATGTGCATTTCGATGTTTTTTCTTATTTATCAAAAAAGATTGTTTTAGCATTTTCATTTAACATTATAAAAAAAAAAAAAAAAAAATCTGAAATTTTTCAGATTTTAAATTACGTCCAAAGGGGCGTTTTTTTAACGTTTTGAGTATTACCTTTATTTATTAAATATCATGTTCTTTGCACTTAAACCATAAAATTCAAGTTCAACAGCAAATATCGCAAAATAATTTTTAAATTAAGCATATCTTTAAGAATTTCCATACACACAGTCTCGCGAGCTGGAGATAAAAGTTCTTATTTTTTTCTATACATTGTTGCCATTTCTCGCTTTGAAAGCGTTGAGTTTGTAATAAAAAATTCGTTAAAGTTTTAGAAAATATGAAATCTCATAATAAAACAAATTTCAAACACCAAATTAGGGCTTCCAGATGCCCATATTCGCAGTAGAAGATTACGTTATTCAAAATTTCGATGGCTCTATGTACCATTGTTTTATCACAATGCGAGAAATATACAATCATTTATCCAGATTTTTCATTATTTAATTTCTTCAAATATAATGCAGGACTCTAACATTTTGTGGCAACAGTTTGAAAAGTGAACCGACGTTTATGAGTCCGACGCAAAATGCCAAAACGAAAGCAATAGTCCTTCGGAACTGAAATCCCTTTGGACTAATAATTGGCTGTATTATTTTTTGAATTTTTTAAAGCTACGATTAAAAATATTTTAAGAACTATGGTATAATTATGCTATAATAATTATAGTATTTTGATTTAATACATTTACATTTTGTTTAATACAAATATAGCTATTTTGATATATATATATATATATATAGAGAGAGAGAGAGAGAGAGGGGTGCACATTTATCTTTTTGCCTCAGGTAAAAAAATATCTTGGCACGCTCTGCTATATCGCATCAACTAAATTCGACTGAGTGAAACTGATTAATTTTTTTAACATTTATTTTAAAAATTTATGACATGAAAAAAAATAACATTAATTGTACACTGCACAAAAAAAGGGGGAAGGGACAGTTCTATATCTCCCGTTCTACTGGACTGATTGACAAATTCAAATTGCGTTTTTCATATCTCAAAAATGCGACTTAGGATATATATTAGATTTATATATAGCATCAATCTAATATCGATATTTTGACATAAAATCGGACTTTTTCTGAAATATTATGCCAATGTTTTTCCATATTTCGATTCTACGGCTCAATGTTTCCCAAACTGCCAAGTTGTGTAAAAATCACAAGAGTAGTTTTTAAAATATCAGCTCTCAAAATGTTAGCTCCTCAATGCTCCACATGACTTCCTTGTATGAAATATTAAATTATACACAATTTTCCTGAATTTCATTTAAACATATTGACTTAACGAATTTTTAATTCAATCTACTTCGTCGATAGCCCATAAACCGCAATAGAATAAATGCACTCTTTAAAGTTCACTATATTTATTTATCATAGCGATACTTCGGCGCTAGGTTCGCTTAACAGCATTACATCTCCTTTCATTTGTAACTCAGAGTGCACAAAAATTCAATATTCAATCAAATATCAATTTCTCAAATTCAAAATGTTTTGAATTAATATTCCTTGTATGCTGACATATCCTCCATGCGTCTGCTGATTGCATTACTTGAAAGCAATGTGTTTTCAACTTCCTTTTTCCATCGGTTCCAAGTGTAATTTTAACAGTTTCTTTGCAAGCTATAAAACGGGTCATTCGGCAACTGTGAGGCTTAAGCTTTAGTTATCAATCTCACATTTTGTAATATGCTTTTGTAGGACGTAAATACTGCTGTGATTCATTTCATGCAAAAAGTTTGCATTTCAACTTGTATTTCTAAAATTAGTTAAAATCCTTACGTATGCTTGATAGAAAAGTGTCAGTGTAGTTTATGTTACATCATCGCTTCATTTTGGCAGCGTTTCCAGACATGTGAGACTTTGGGGGCACAAAAGGATTATCAGAGCACGCAAAACTAAGTTTTAGATAATTATCTTTATATAGTCTCTGACTGCGTTGCTCCTTAAACTTTTCCTTTCGTCTGCTTCCTTGAGTTGGGGAGCTTGATTCTCTTCTCATTCTTACAAATATCTCCCTTTTATTGAGGGTAACTGAAAATTAAATTTAACAGAATTAGAACCCTTCAAGAATGAAAATGTAAACAAGCCATTGGTTAGAAAGTTACAAATCATGAAACTGAAAGTGTACAATATAATCGAGGATATCAAGTAGGCAATACATATATTACAATATAATCGAGGATATCAATTGTAACTAGGGCCTTCCAAATACCGAAATACGCAAAATTGTGTTAAAAAATGTCTACTGATGAAATAATACCTATTTTTTACCAAACTTAAGTAACCAAACCAAAGTTTTGCTAAACGTAAACGAAAATTATCCTTTTGTTAGTTTGTATGATCAGCTACATTGCTCAGAAATATCGTTGATTGATTCCGAAGAGGGAAAAAAGAAATTACGAATAAAAAAAATGACTCATTAGTGTATATTTTAACCCACAAAGATGCTTCTTTCTTCAATGACCGTTATATCTTGAGTTAAAATGAATATTATAAATCGGCAATAACAGGAGGAAGCGTCTTTACTATTAGATAATATCAATTTGACTTTTTCTTCGCAAGCTACAGAACGTTTCAAAATACAACTTCAGAAAAGGACAAAATAAGGCATTTCGGCTAAGGTGATTTACATAGACTATTCAGTAACTTTGAGCTGTTGGAAATGTAAATTGATCAATTTTAAATTTAATTAAAATAGCTAAGCTTAGTTTTCATCTTATTATTATTAGTTTTCGTTGAGATTATAAATATATAATATTAAAAAGACTATATTAGGTCAATCCATAAATAATGCATTTTTGTATTGCTTTGGTTTTCATAATTCAGACAAGCAAAATTCTTTTTTAACTTAAAATATACTCTCCATCCTGTGATACTTCCTCAAGAGTTTTTACAATGGTATTTTATTCGACCGGAGTTTGTAGGGCGTCATCTTTTGTCTCTCCAAATCTTTTATAAATGATTCGTCTTCTAGGCTGAAGTTTCCAGACAGGAATTTCTGGAACCATTGTTGACACTGGCTTTAGTGGTCGATTCCCGTATTACTGCATTAATATTCCTGTTAAAAATTATTTAACTGAATTCATAAAGCAAAATATAACTATTACGCTCCTTTGTCGCTTCTATGTAGCTTAATATTATTCCACTAGATAAAATAACTGGTAAAATTGAACTGCAAGTTTCAAAACTTTCACTAAGAATAAAAACAAGATAAAGCTACTACTTGCTTTTGTCGCAAGATGATGCACGTAATTTAACCCGTCCCCCTACGACTTTTAGTTCAACTGAAAATCTCGCATTATTTAAGGGACAAGCCAATAGGTAATCAGAATTTTTATTCATTTTGCTACACTGACTAATGAAATAATATTGACATTTTTGTTAGTGTTTTAATGGAAATTTATGTGCTTCAGTTAGCAAGCATTTAATGTAGATCAACTTTAGCATCTACAGGCAGAATTTATTTTAGAACAGTTATGTGTTATAAGATTTTATTAGTTATTTATTTTAATATAGATTATTATATAAACGTTCTAAATATTACTATGCAATTTTTTATTACATGAACTTCTTTTTAGAGTTCTCTATTTATTATTTATCTTTGTTGTTTTTATCTACCAGCTCTATGTGTTAAAATGCATTTTTATTTGTTAACTTATTTTTTTATATATTGATTCTAATTTCAGGTATGGTACAGAAAATATGGGTTATATTATAGACGAAACAATTACTTACTTCACCACTCAAGAAGATTATAATGAGGTTCGTATTTAGAAAACATTTTTCGATTTAGGCTGTAGATTATTACGTAATACTTATATGGTTCCAAATTTTTCATTTATGCTGTTAACATTACGTTAACTTGATTATAAATGTAAACTAAATATAGTAAACTCTGAATGGTGTTTTTAAATATATGAAAAATATATTTCGATATGTGATTCAAATATTTTCGAAGAGCAACTAATCAGGTTTTAAATATGAAGAATTTTAGCTGTATCTCAAATGGTGAAGGAATGCTTCAATGTCAGTTTATATCTTGTCATATATATATATATATTTAGTTGTTTATTAAACACTGTAGTTCATTTCCATACAGCTTTAATCAGGCATGCATGCAGCTCCATTTATTAAACAATATTTTGTATCTTTTTGCTTTTCCTTTATACATTCTTTTATTGATACTCATGTACAACAACGTCATATAGTACAACAAACATATTTTAACAATACTCGAAGAAAACATATATTCCAGAATTTCTCTTTAACACACTATGTCTTAGATTCTATAAAACTATTCTTACAATTTTTCGAATTCGAATTACCAGGTATTGGTAATTCGAATTTTATATTTAAAATAAAGAAATTATATAGATAATTTTGCTTGAACTTTCTTTAATATGAAATAGTAATGTTTAGTTGCCTCATTTACTACAGAATAGTTATCCGTATATTTCTTAAATATTTTCTAGATAAAAGCTTTCTTTGAAGAAGTAAATGCGGGTGCTGTTATAGATTCTCTGAATCAAAGTCTTGAGACAATGAAAATTAATATCCAATGGCGTCAAAACCTGGAAGCTTTTGTCTTTGAATGGTCACAAGAAAATTTTATTTAAAATTTTACTGTCATTTATAAGAGTAGTGAGATGTTCAATCTAACTAATCACGAGGTTTACATTTTAACTCATGGTTTTCGATGTGTTTATATTTCCCTTTGAGTAAACACTTAACATTTTTAAATACATGTATAATAAAATCAATTATTACTTCTTATGCTTTTTGTGGTGCTTTAACATGTACGAGACACGTTTCTTCTACACATACTGATTTTCTTTTGCAACTGAATAAAATATCTGCATTTTTATTAGGTTACAATGATCTCTAAAATTTTCCTTTCTTTTGTACAGATTCATGGTGGTATTTTTATATGTTGAGAAGCTTTCATATAAAGAAAAAATAATTATAAAATTGATGATTTTAGTAAAACTTATGCATTAAATTTCTTAATCAGAAACAAAATAAGTCTAAATTTTAAATAAATAAGTGTAGCTGTGGTATGTCCAAGTGTTTTCTAAATTTGAATTATTTTGAAACGTTTACTATTATTACATTATCAAATGCGTAGTTTTGCTAATAATTTACAAACTGAGATTTAAATATTTTCGATGTGATTTATGGATAAATTATTGCATTAATTACAAACAGAAATTCTAGTTGATATGCTCATCTTAGTTTAAAATCATTTACAATTCGGTAGACGCTTTATTTTGTAATATTTTAAGCTATTTTCTCCCTGCTTTCTGCATGCCTTCGTGGTGTAACGGTTAGCACACTCGGCGCGTATTCTAGTAGTTCAGCCGGTGAGGGCGCAGCTGATTTTTCACATCTCCTGCTTCAAAAATCCTAATGACTCTACAATGTGTTTCTAAAATAGTTAATTAATACAAATTGTTTTAAATACTTATATCTGATAATAGTAAAAAATGTAATTACGTCTGAACAATTACACATAAATAAAGTCATTTAACCTTTGGGCTGAGTAATTTTAACTGTACATCATGAACATCATAAGTAAAGTCATTTAAGTATGAAGGAATTAAGATGTTTGATACAAAACTATTTATTTTAATCTAATCAAATTTTCTACTATAATTTTTTGCTTTTTTGTTAATGAAACTATTGTATTTCAACCAATAATGATTAATAAGGAAGCATCAAGAAATCTTTATAATAAAAACACATAAACAAATTGTTCACGTAATGCAACATGTGATACAAATTTTTATCATAAGCTAATTTTTTTCAGCATATTGTGTCTAAAGGCAGCAAAATCATTAAAACCTGAATCAGGATACAATGCACATCATTCATTTCAGAGACTGGATTCCAGATTCACAATATATGTACCTGGAAGAAGCCCTCGATATACAGAGGTAATTTGAAACTGATTAGAATGAGATTCCAGTCAAATACATACGTTAAACATTAAAAAAAAATTTTTTTTAACTACTGGTTTAGTCAAAAAAACTCTACAAGATATTTCCTTGTACTTATACATTTCAGTATAATATCATATTTATTCACATTCGTTCGGGGGCTAGAATATTTTTAATAATATCTATACAATTCGTAAAGTGTAATTTTACAGTTTCAGTACCTTTGAAAATTTCTGAACACATCTCTGAAGAATTATCAATATTGCTGATTGTTCATAAATTGCAATAGAAAAAATTATCTTACTTTAACCTTCTCTTGTTCTTTCCTTGAATCTCTTAACAAACCTTTCCTATATTTATGATTATTTTTTGAGCAAAACTCTGGACACATTTTTATTCAGGTTGTGGTGTTCCGCAGCCCAACCTACATGCAACAATAGTAGTGACTGCTATGAAGTGGAAAGTACACAAAACTCTTAAGAAGGGTTTAACTCCCTTTTTATTCTACTTTAGAAGTTACAGATGCGTGCACTTGACGCTTACAATTTACCGTAAAATGAATAAGAGAAAAATAAATTTTTACTTCACGCATTCTTCGCCAAGCAGGCGGCACTGAAACTAAATTTCTCATTAATACAAGAATACTAAGTTATTTTACTTTCGGCCAAATTTCGGCTTTAACATAACAGAATTAGTCTTTCGACCAACAGAAACTTCTTGTTCTTAGATTTTATACTTAAAGAAAATAATACTTTTTGCCTTAGCTAAATAAAGTAAAACAAAACTAAGTCTCAACCGAGACAAACTGACTTCCGTCAAAACATAGAACTTCGTATTTAAGCATAACATTTCGGAACAAAAGGAAAAATTTATAGAAGATTTTAACTTATCTTTGAGTTTTCGATGATTGGAACTCCTGTTCTTAAAGCATAAGCTGTTCTTAAAGCATAAGTTAACTCATTTATGTAGCCATCCCTGCGCTTGTGATGTGTGCTAACATAACTTCGAATTATTTTTACAATATTTTTATTAACTCTTTCTGATGTTTGCCTGTGGTCTATACAAACCATTTTGATATGGCGTATGCCAAATCCAGTGCAAATGTTTTCAAATATTTGGCTAACGAATTGTTTACCGTTATCGCTAATGACTTTTATCGGTGCACCGTATTTTAAAATGTATCTGTGTAAGAATGCATCTGCGACTGTTTTGGCTGACGCGCGTTTAAGTGGAACAATTTCTGTCCATTTTGAAAAATGATCTACAATTACTAAAAGAAAACGATTTTTATTTAACTCACTCTGGGGGAAAGGACCAAGAAGATCTATGCCTAAAATTTCATTCGGAAATGTAGCGCGAATGCTATTTAAGTACCCGGCCGGGCTGTAATTAATATCATTTATTAACTGACATTGATTGCAGGACCTGACATACGCAGTTACTATTTTGTATAATTGCGGGAAATATACCGCCTCGCGTACCCTTTTTAAAGTCTTTCTGACCCCTAAATGACCCGCTGTTTTCGCGTCGTGTAATTCCTTCAAAATGCTTAATCGAAGCGAGGCTGGGATGACTGGTTTGTATTCGAAATTTTCGTTTGTTGTTTTCGTATAAAATAATAAATTATCTATTATTTCATAGTTTTTTTTCTGCTCTATTTCTTATTGCATCGATATCTGTGTGTTCAAAGCTTTCGGGGTCTTTCAAATACGCATAGATACTTCCAAATTCAGGATCAGCTTTCAATTCAGCAATAATTTGTTTCTCTAGAATCTAAAATTTTTCAAAAATTTTAGATTTGAAACAAAAGTCAACACAGCGCATTTGAGTTCATTTGCCTTCATCGTCCAGTTTTTATACGAGATAGTGCGTCAGCAACATTGTTTTCCTTACCCGGTTTATATTTATTATGAGGATTATATTCTTGAGTTTTTAAAAGCCCATCTTATTAACCTGGGCGTTAGGTTTTTTCCCCGAGTAAAGTCTACCAACAGCCGCATGATCCGAAAGACTGTACTTACTGGCGCTTTGCCGAAATAAACTCGAAATTTGTGTACAGCCATTAATACGGCTAATGTTTCTCTCTCTGTAGCTGTATAATTCCTTTGTGTAGGGTTCAAAACGTTTTACTAAAAAATGCCAAAGGATGGCCATTTTGCATAAGAACCGCACCTACAGCATAGTCCGACGCATCTGCTGCAATTTCCAGGTTTTCGTCCCCTCCGGGAATTTCAAAACAGGGGCATTGATGAGCGCTTCTTTTTAACCTTTCAAATGCAGTATTTGCTTCTGCTGTCCACGTGAATTTACTTTTCTTTCTTTTAATTACTAACAAGGGTTCAACAATATTAGCGAAATCTTTTATGAAACGACCGATAATAAGAACATAACCCAAGGAAAGAAAAAGTTTCTTGGCGGTGTTGGGAGGTGGGAAATTCTTGATGGCTTTTATTTTTGAATCCTTGCGTTTCTATACCCTTTTGCGAAATTTTATAACCGAGATATTTAAGTTCTTTAGTTGCGAACTTGCATTTTGAGGCGTTAATTGTAAGACCGGCCTCTTTTTAATAATTTAAAAACTTGTTCTAGATCTTTAATGTTGTTCCAACGTACTACTCGTTATAATTATATCATCTAGATAGATTAAAGTCGATTTTCCTAGGACAGGCTTTAGAACAATGTCCATAGCTCTCTGGAATGTTGATGGGGCCCCACACAACCCAAAGGGCATGCGTAAAAATGCATAAGTGCCCGATTTTTGTTATAAACGCGGTTTTATGTATGTCTTCGGGTCTCATAGCTATTTGATAGTAGCCAGACGTTAAGTCCAACGTAGTCATGTATCTTCGTAGATTTAATCTTTCTAATAATTTCCTCTATAACCGGCAAAGGGTAAACTGGGAATTTAGTAACACTATTAAGTTTTCTGTAATCGATAGCAAACCTCCAAGCCCTTTTATCCGAAGGAGGAAACTCATTCTTTTTCCTACATAGTACGACTGGACTCGCGTACTCACTATTTATGGGCGTTATTATTCTGGTTCTTTAACATTTCCTGAATGTGTTCTTCGATGATTTGCTCTTTTGTTTATCATAGCGGTAAGGTTTAGTCCTACAGGTTTTGTCGGCAGTTTAACTGTATATCATGCGTAACAATTTGACAGTTACCAGGCCGTTCTGAAAACAAGTTTGAAAAAGTACTCACCACTTGCTGGATGGCTTGGCTTTCATGGTCATTCAAATGGCTAAGGTCGACTTGCGGTTGTTCCACTGGTTCCACCACCCTCCGATCCATCTCCAGCACAATAGAACTTTCCTGAAAATTCAGTTTGGCCCTTCGCGGCTTTTAAAAACTCCATACCTAAAATAAGTGGACTTTGCAAATTTTTTACCTACAAAAATTAATACTTTAAGGCTTTTTCGTTTTACCTGTATTTGTTAATGATAATTTTCCCAATACATTGACAAGTTTTTCCTTGCGCTGCTATGATTTCTTCTGTTTTTTTTTATTTTTAAATAATCGTAACCTATTAAAATTCTTCTTAAAAAAATGTATCACTCATAAAATTACCTTTTGCTCCTGTATCGATGAGGGCTTCTACTGGTACATCGCCAACCAGGACTTGTATAATGGTAATTGTGAGTTTTTTTACGATGACCGTATTTAAGTATCTTCTTGAGGGTTTTTTTCGAAACTTCCGGGGTCTGGACCCTCGCTTTTACAGGCCCCTCTACTCGTTTAAAGCTTTCCTTTCAACTTCTGCCTTCTGGGTACGCGGACG